TTTTTAAGCATTTCTTGTGCTGTCGTGTACGAAATCTGACAATTTGACACAATTTATTTGTTTTGATGATATACATTCAAACCTGTATCTACTAGCTACCAGGCGTTTATGCGCTTATCGCGCAGGTGAAACAAACCCTTATTCTTGGAATACCACCGCATTCGCTCGCCAGGTTGCGAATTTCCCGCCCTGAATGAGCAGTGAGCTCGACATTGGCGGGCGCCGTAACTAATATATCATTGGAAGCTCAACATCACGTTTCTCGCTTCCGAAGCCGCTTTTGGAAGTGACTTGGAAGAAGCCTGTTTGAAATGGTGGAGAAAACCTGTAGCTCAGGTAATGACTGTGGTGGTGTTTCGTTCTCTGAGCTGGTTGTTTTTGATGTGAAGCTTTCATTGTTCTTCTGAACAACATCATCAGCACAAACTTCAGATAGAAGTGAAGCATTCGAATGTCTCCAAGTTTGACCTGTAACTTGTTCTGCTAACCTCGATCTTGACTGGTTGTTGTTGACACTAAACCTGTCGTTGTTTGCACATTTATTCTGATTGTATCCCCTTTTTAATCTGTTTCTTGATCCTACGTCCCCAATGACTTTTCTGATTTATTGATAAACTGATTCAATGTCGATGTATTTATTGATTGCTGATTGACCTGAATGCCAAGCTTCTGAAAATTCCCTAGTGTTCCTTGTCCTCATCTATCCAGTAATTCCACACTGTCCAAATCGAATGTATGTCCATTATTGTCGGTATGTATTGATATAATCGAAGAGTTGTCGTCAATCAGCGATAAGTTAACATATCGACCAATCAGAAAAACCACAGGGGACATAGGATCAAGAAACAGAATAAAAAAAGGATACAACCAAAATAAATGTGCAACCAACGACAGGTTCAGGGTCCACAACAACCAATCAAGTTCGAGATCAGCAGAACAAGCTACAGGTCAAACGTGGAGAAATCGGAATGCTTTAATTCTATCTGAAGTTTGTGCTGATGATTTTGTTCAGAAGAACAATAAATGCTTCACAACAAAAACAACTAGCTCAGAGAACGAAGCCTGTTTGATCCGAGTGTGATCGTAACCGGGCTCGGTGGATGTCAGTATCTAGAAAAAAGTACAAAATCTATACTTGAGACGGCTGATAATGCATCAACACTGATCTACTTGAGCTTTGAGTCTCCTAGCCTCATGGTCTATATAAAATGAGGGCAACCCATGTAAGTGGCATGTGCTCGAGTATAGCAGTGATCGTAAACTGAATGTGTGCTATCAGAGATTCGAGACAATGTTCTTTGACTCGTTTCAAAATCAGCTGTCATTTTTCCAGCAAGAGTGCAGGTGACCCAGCTTAGCTTCGGTCAGAGGCTAACTCCTCAACCTGTCCAATCTGTAAGTGAGGAAATGTCTGAGAATCGCTTGCTTATTACAGTCGTAGACGTCTGGTACTTGGAAACTGAAGGGAACCTCAAGGACCGCCGCAGTATGGTTCAAGGTTAAGAATCTCAGCGAGTTTTTTCTGCTCCGGGTTCATGATGCGGAAGAAACTAGATATCTGTGTTGTGGGAAATAACAGAAACAGTTCGAAAATTGAGAACTTGTATTTAGTAATCTGTTATATAATCTTCTTTCCTCACTTTATTCACCACAAGAGAAGTTTGTTGTTGGTATAGTATGTATTTGAAAAATCGATAGATTCTTAGCTACAAGCATTAAAATAGTATCCATTGTAGATAGAAGAATAACAGACAGTTGATGCGTATACAGAGTCATCGCCCACTAATGAAAATGTCCATCGCAATATAATCAAGATTAATCCTGTTCCGGCTAAGAGTAAGAAGATCAGCTCTGAGTGAAGGACAATGTATATTTAGTGATATGCCGTGATTTGGAAAACGTTATCAAGGTGAAAACAAATAAGGTGGAATGAATCCACTGACGCAGTTGGGTAGTATCAGAGACACTTGAAACCAGCCGTTATTGTTTTAGTACAGTTAGGCAAAAGAGTAAAGTGAAACAATCACCTGTACATTAATTTACAATTATAAATGTTTCCAGTTCGTCAATTGATTTATCTTCATCAAAGTGTTCCACTACAATATTTTGAATCAACAAGACATAATAAATTGTAAAGTGAATTTTTTGTCTTCAAAGAACGAAAAGAAAATATATGAATACAATAAATGTCATATAGTGTTTTCTTGTGAATGAATATATTTATTCCACTTTGCTATCGCAAAAGCTGTGCGAAACAGCTTCGTTATGTACAATCTTGTCGCCGTTCTTATTTGGAAACATTTAGTATTTGGATCTGCTTACAAACACATTTCGAAGTACTCTTTGAATCGCTCCTACTTGCTGATTTTGATCTTCTCATGTGTCAACTTGATTACATCTAAGGACATCAGCAAATTGGAATAGGATGTTTAAAGTAAATTATCTCAACACATAATAACGATGCGTATGAATCCGTTAGTATCGCATCATCGAGAAAATGAATGTTTTGGGTCGTCAGTTGCTTAATTCACACTCATTCACTCGTCCAACTAATACCGTGGTTGAGGTGTTTTAAATCACACGGAGCAATTATCTTGCAAGGCGTCAGAATTTTACATATTGCTTTCTTTCAATGGTTTTAGATAATTTTGTTTTAAATAGTCACAGCTTAATTTCATTCACAGTTTCGCTATTTTTCATCTCAATTTATCGTATTGCCGTCCAAGTGACATATTTTTTCTGGTCTATAGAGAACTTTATTGTTAGGTTATAAACATACTTATTACTGTGAACTGAGCGAGAACAGTAATTTGGTTGTAAAAATTTTAACTCGAAAAGGTTTCGCCTTTGTTGTGAAACTCGCAAGTACTTCAACTTTGAACCTCTCAAAAGATTGAACATCCGTCAGATCACAACATTTTATTTCGTGTAGATGACGATGATTGGATGGATGTTCAAATATAGAGGTTTCTAAAAAAAAAACTTGACTGGCCTCCTAATATTGATCACTATAATGCATAGAAAATCCTTCTTCCAGCTGCTGTGTTTACTACCGAATGTCACGTGAATGATAATGTGGGTTATTTTGGCGGAAATGAACCTCTTGTACGATTAAGGTACTTAGATTGATAATTGAGCTGTAACTAGCTATATATTCGTCTTGTTTTATTTACCCATCATATTCAATTGAATACAATTTATCTGCTAATCAGAATGACTAGAAATCTTATGAACTAAGTTTTTACCTAAAGTAGTTAAATGCAGTCAAACTTTATTAAGCCCTAGTAAATATATGGTAACATGAAGTACTTGTAATATTGAAAGATCGAGAGTTGGTTTTGTTTACAGTTATTAGTCCACGATTTCGCTTATTTCCTGTTCTGAAAAGCTAATAATTTGCTGCTAGTTATGAATTGGTCATTCGACTTACAACGTTAAATAATGTTTGATCATATTCACTATTTTCATCGATTTTATTTTCTGCCTATCGCAGATTACTTTATATAAGTAAGAGATATTCACTACAAAATCAACTACGACTCCTTAAGTGGAATTCTTATCTACAACTTTCAGTTACATACGAAAACCCTCAAAATATAGACTACTGTGACGACACACAATTCACTCAATTCAATTAGTTCATGATCTTTCAGAACACACGATCAGGTTGTCAGCTTGAATTAAACTCAACGTAATGCAACAAATAGTGTAGTAATTTCCTGGTGGCAGTAATATATAATACATATAAACCAAACATCTTGTTGAAAGCATCAACATTATCCGTGAGTAATCGTTCATCATTATTATCATAATTACGGATATCGAATACTTTAGGAAAAGATTTCGTGGCAGTTGAAAAATCTGTGATGATGTATTCATGATTTCGGTGAAACTGAAAAATCTTCACTGCATAATCCTAACAGTTAGCATGTCCACACTACTTAACAGCTTCCTAGTGAAATTCTCGGATTTGTGTTGAGCAATCGTGATTAGTTGAGCCCACTGCTATTGAATTTAAGGCTAATGCTCACAAAACTATTAATGATAGTCGCTCGAAATCGATGATTCATTGAAATTATCAGCCGAACGTTTTACGGGCTGAGCGTTGACGTGCGAGAATGAAAGTTTTAAGTTAGACTTCCATTCAGATTGTTGTTGATACGCAATTCTAAACAGTACTTTGTTAAGAAAAAATACGCCTCGATTGATTGCAAGTTTCCGACATTGATCTGATAAAGATGGCTTTAATATGATGATCTGAAAGTTCTGTCATGCATTATTTTGTACACTCATTCTTCTTTAGACCATAATCTTTTTGCTAAAGTGTATCTCAATCAGCTTCAACTGAGACACCAAATGACGTCCTAAAACGTGGACAAACTGTTGCTTCAATGGTTGTGGCGCCTTGTGTAGGAACCGTATCGTGATACCAAGTAATACTTTTGGAAATCATTGAATCAGGTTTGTTGTTAAAAGATGATATCGAGATTAGGAAACCCAGAAATAGGAGACAGTCCATTTTGACATATAGTAATCGATAAGCAATTAAGTAATTGACAGCTGATTACTGGTGATTATCATCCATAGCCAACGTTACCGTTATAAGTGGTTCCTGATTGTACTGTTGATTGAGAAGACCTTATTTTTACTAGATTTGAGGTTTTTAACTCAGAGTTCTTTGAATCATTTGTACAACAATATAACAGAAGATCGTACTTAGCGAGGCAATCTCATGACTGATAGGAGAAGCAGTCGTCAAACGTTTGCAGTAACCAATTCCGCTGTTAGCGTTTGATTATGTCAACTCCGGATGACGGCATTTGAGATAAAATATATATAAAACTAAGGTTGACAATTGATACTATTATTATTGTAGTTTCAGGAATTAGTTGCAACGGAGTTCTGAGATATCATCATTACCTATTCAATCACATTAAAGTTTTGGATGACGTAGTACATATTCTCCATATCCAATCAAAAACACGAATACATTGATCAAGGATTTTATGAAAAGCAATCAAATTATGAAGATCGCCAATAATTACTTCAATCAGCAATTACATTTAGACAACAACAATAATAATAGTAATTGACATGAAGATGTGAAATAATCAAATCATCATAATTTCCACCGAAAGTATAAAAGTCATTTACACTAAAGAGTTGTCTTTCAATTTGATGTATTTTGTCATATAGTATGTTGTAATTATAATCATCTGTAATTGTAAAAACAGTCATTTTTAGTCTGACAATGAACAAAGAAATTAAGCACGTAAAGAAGAGAATAAAGAATCTGCACTGACGGAGTGAGTGTACAGTGACTTATATGTAAACTCACATGTAATTTGTGACGTTATCCATTTGAAGAATCAAACAAGAACATGACCTTAACCTTCACCCAATCAACATTTTGCTTCCAAGAGTTCATCTGATAATGTTGTAGATACTGGTGTTTTAATTAAAAATCTATTATGAATGATTATTGTAGGTATTTTTATACTTTCAGTGTGGGGTATGATATTTTACAATTTAAAATCAGCAGAGAGTGATATATATATATATATATATATATCAAAATTTAATCGTTCATTTGAAACTTACGATGAGCACTGCACTGCACCAACAAACGCCCGACAAAATTTGAAACAGCAACTAGAATAAATTTTCAGGTCATATCATTTTGTGAATATTTGATTCGCATCGGCAAAACATTATTCAATAATAAATGTAATGACTGATTGTGAGCATGCATTGTGTCAAGTCACAGTTCTGTGAGCTTCATGTTCACAATAGGGATACTAGGCAATTCTACTTGTTATCCGTAATGATTGGTCTAAAAACAAAAAACTGAACTTTGAATTATGTTTACTGTAACCAAGATGCCTGAACTTGAATGATTTGATGAAATAATGACATCACAACAGCAGTTTTATCATTAGCACACGGTGAACGTTGTATAAATAGAGCAGTTACTTCTGTCTTGAAATGTGCGTATATTATTTCGCAAAATATCGTTTTCTGCATAACAAAACTGGCTCATTACATAACAGATAATCCTAGCAAATATTCATTGTGTTGTATGTCTCATAATGGTTGATTATTTGATGTAATCCATAATCCACACACTTTTATTACGTTGAAGTTGATATTTCAAGAAAAACTTACTTTGTGCTCAGGCCAAATCCTAATTGAAATGCTGAATATAATTCCAGCTGCCACTACTACTAAGCAAACTGCAATTATTAGCATCCTCCATTTTTCACGAATTTCTATCATTCTTGGACTAGATAGAACAGCAAGAAGCAATGTTGAAACTAGAACAATTGCCGCAATGATCAGTTGATTCCAATCGCCAAAGGCAGTCAATAATCCAAAATCAATAGTCATCATATTCAACTGAAAAGTAAACAAGAAACCTGTCAGTTTTTTAGTTTCTGCACTAATGAACGCAATCACAATGATCAATATTATTAACAAATACCTGATCAAGTATTGTTATCAAGTTATCTGTTTGTTCATTATAATGAATGCTAAGTGTTCATAAACCAAGTTCACCGTTTTGTCAATTGAGACAGATATTTATTCAACGCGTTCGCATATATATATTGCATCATCTCGATGTATTCATGAAAAATTTAAAAACAACTATAGTACAAAGAAACCTTGTCATCTAAATAAAACTTCTAATTGAAGCATCAAATGATGAAAAACCATTGTGTAAAAACAGGTTTGAAGAATCACCGAGAAATATAAATTCGAATTTGTGGAATTTATCTAGTTGACATTACTATGACTGTAATGGAAAAACGTATTTGAACCAAAAATTAATTCCATCTTTCGGACAGTCTATTATGATGTACACTAAACCTGTTTTCTTTTCACTTGTCATTTGCAATTGTCAATCATCAGTTTCACAGTTATCCCTGACTTACTAATGGATCTAATTCATTCGTTATTTTGAGATGTGCACATTAATATCAGTATGTACTAGATTAAATCTAAACGACGATTCAATCGTAATAGAGTTTATGAAAACTCAACGGAAATATACAAAGAAAATCATGAACTACATCTAAAATTATGTTTAACTAACGATTATAATCATGATGATGGCACTCCTTGTATATGCAGTGTACAATGCTTTGATGAATATAATAATGATTCCCAATACTATAACCATAATTCTGAAGTATGAAAATAAAATGTACAACGAGATTAATTGAAGTGTACAGTGAGCAGAGCTAAAAGTCATCAACGTTTCCCTATGAAATATATAAAGTTAATATAACAATTCGACAATGAGTAAATGATTTTCAGAAAGATTTGATAATAGTCGCTGATGAAAAATGCAATAACTACCTAAACAGGTGACTTCATTAGGATTTTTTTAAGAATTGTGCACTGAACAGATTATCATAATTGATCTTTCTAATTAATGGATGATCCTTTATGAGCATATATAAAATAATATTATTGACGATTTTCTACGTTTTATGACTTACATCAAAACGATACTAGATAAGCGATGTGGTTTGTCCCACGCAGTTGCATCGAATCTGTTAAGCGAAATGATGATTTTTAAATTCATGGGAATTACTTACGTGCACGAATTTGTAGTGTTACAGACACTATTGTTATTTTCTTTTGACATTGCACCGAATGCCCATGTTATCATGGTTGACATATTTAAATTGAATAAATTCATGAACTCCATCTTCGAAAGAATCGGCGGAAATATTAGATACAGATAACAATGATACGTTAATACACGAATTACAATCAAATATAATAGCCTAACTTATTTACTTCACTTTCAACGACATATTGACAGTTATGGATTCATGACTATGTTCTATACGTCAATAAATTAGTTTGACATGAATGAATCGACGTAAGTGTTAGATACAGAGAGAAATGATAAATCAATACATGGATTACATGAAAATATAAAAGCGTAGTTTTTTAACTTCATTTTCAACGATACATTGACAGGTATGGATTCATATGAATTCAATACGTCAGAAAACTAGTTTGACATTCACTTTTTTACCGTCGTAAGCAGGTATCAATCGACGATGGGTCAGAATAATGATTCATTTTCTAATTATCTACTCACAAATCCATTTGCCCACAAATATACATGCCTATCTTTCTATAAATCTATACATATGAAAGATGCACTGCAGTTCATTGTACTGACTGAATCAAGTCAGATCATAAAAATTGTTAGACAATTTGTATGATTTTATAAAAATTTACAAACTCACGTCACTATTTTTCAACGTTCAGTTAAAGCGCAGTTCTATGCTAACACCGAAATTTATAACTGCATACACCAATTACTTGGCAACACATATTGATTATCAACTGGTAAGTTTATTCATAAACTTTGGACCAAAGAATAATGAAAAACTATATGACAAAGAACGGATTAATTAATTCATTTTAGAAATACACTAAACATTATCAGTGATTACGTGATAATGCTTGTAAATCATAAGAATGAACTATATTTTCCTTAGGTTAAGCTCAGATGAACGATCCTTTTCTTGTTGCTTTGTGTAGTTAATTATATGAAATATTCTTATTGACAGTTCCTGAACAATGTGAACATAAGATTGTGCATATTTGTGTGTAGTGATAATGAGAGCTTTCTATGGAGGAAACTTGATGCTAAGTTTCCCATACCTGGACAGTGACATTTATGATTTAACTATAACTGGGTTGCAAATGAGGTTGTTTCAATGTAAGCGACTTTGTGATTGATATACTGAAACTGCATTTGGCTTATTATTTATGTATTATTCAAGGTTGTTGGGGAATTAGTTTAGTGGCAGTAGAAAAATGATGAATGTTAGATTATCGTTCACTTATGCAGGAAGACATGTAAACAAATAACGCAAAGGCAAGTGGAAGGAAATACAATCGGGTGAATTTGCCAACTATCTTGCACTGAAGCATGAATAAGTTCATTTTGTCTGGATACAGTAGGATAAACATGCTTCAAGCGAGTAAGCATGCATAGATACATACAATCAACTATTACTTTCTTCTCCACGCCTGAAGAACAGGCCGCCAAACAGTTTTCTCCAATCAACTTTGTCCCGAATTTCCCTTTACAGTTCTGTCCAATTTTCATTCATTCTTCTCATATCTTTCCCTATTTCTCTGCGTAATGTGTTTCAAGTGAGGGCTATTCTTGTGACGCAGTTAGGTGCTTTTCGTAGTGCGTGTTCTGAACACTTTCAACGTTTCTTCCTGATTTCTTCCTCAACCGGAATCTGATTTGTTCTCTACCACAGTACGTTTTTGCTATTGATGTCCGGCCAACGAATGCGAAAGATTTTGATAAGACAACAGTTCAAAATACTTGTATCTTCTTGATGATGGCTTTCTTACTTCGCCAAGTTTCCGCTCCATACAGTAGAACTGTCTTCACATTTGTATTGAAAATCCTTATTTTGGTTTTGGTTGAAAGTTGTTTGGCGTTCCAGATACTTCTCAATTGTAGAGATGCAGGCCTTCCTTTGTCAGTCCACGCCCTTAATCTGCAGCGAATACACCTTTCTCGTCGATGATGCTGCCAAGATATGAAAAGGTGTTAAGATCTTCCAAGGCATATCCATCAAGAGTTATTTGTTTGGTGTATGTAGTGTTGCACCGGTGAATTTCGCTTTTTCCTTTATGTATGTTGAGACCTACTGCTGCAGAGGCTGCTGCTACACTAGTCGTCTTCTCTTGTATTTGTCTTTGCGTGTGCGATAGAAGAGCCAAGTCATCTGCGAAGTCCAGGTCGTGTCCCAACTGTCCACTGAATACCGTGCTTCCCTCCAGATGTCGACGTCATCATAATCCAGTCGATGACCAGGAGAAAGAGAAAGGGTGTGAGTGAGCAACCTTGCCTCACACTGGTCTTCACCTCGAAAAAGTTCGTTAGCTGTCCTTTGTGAAAGATTTTGAAGTTGAATCGATCATCAGGATTCCGTATGATGTTAACTATTTTCTCAGGCACACCGTGGTGTCAAAGAAGCCTCCATAGTGCTTTCCTATCCGCGCTATCGAATTCTTTAACGTTGTCAACGAAGTTGATGTTGAAGTTATAAAGTTGCTTTACTTAAATTTACCATAAACATATATGAAATGATTTTGGAGAATAGTTAGCTTTTCAGCTGTTGAGATGGAATTTGTATGGAACGCATGAATAGTGACAATGGATTGATGTTTTGCAACAGGAACAGTCCAGTTCGAGATGATGAACTGATATTTTGCAAATTAACGATTTACGATATGGTTTTCCTATTTTAGTGAGTAACCCTGTAATTCTCGTTAAGTACACTTCGGTCGCGCCACCTGTGTTCTCCTTCACTACATGCCCAATAAACTCTCTGATGTTATTTGTTATAAAGCACTGGAGACATGGTACACTGTATATACATACATTTGTGTGCAAACAAATACTTCGATAGACGTTTACAATCAAGCACATCTAAACATCGGGAAAATGTAATGCCATTATGAAGAGCTAACATTGATGTCTAATAATCCGAGGGTCATACTCCTATAACTCCTATGTGTCTAATCGATAATGGATAGGAAAAAACGGCTATATTGTTGAAAATGAAGGTGAACGAGTTAGGGATTACATATTCGGCTAGGCGGGGTGTATGGATGAATAGCGCACTACAAGCTATACGTTGAAGTACATATCATTCAATAAAACTAAACTAGACAACAACAAGCGTAGAACGTTTTCTGAGTTGTTTTTATTTCAAGTTACTGGCTGCTACACTTTGGTGCATTGAGAAAAAAATCATCTATGTACATTTATACACATTATTGCAGTAGAAAATAACACCTGGAAAGAGATAAGCTAATCGGAATTTGTTTTTAGACAAATTTTTCAATACGCACTTATATTCTCTAAAAAATTAATACCTATTAGTCGAACTGATAATGACCTGAATTACTGACACACACACAGGCAGTAATCTGAAAGAGCTAATACTTAATCATCTTTGTCCCCGATAACATTTAGAATTTCATACAAATTATTAGCACAAAGGATGAAACTTACTAAAAATGTTAGATTACTATTAATAACCCATACCCATGACATTGATTCGGTGAAAATTCAATGAAATGTGAACCAACAGAGATGAGTTAAATCTCACACTGTTCAGCTGTTTAACTGCATTGAGATGAAAAAGTCTGAATTATAGTTTAAGTGAATTCTGATTAATAAAGGCAATTGTCGAGATTATAGAACATCATAGTTTATATTGCTGATTGGCCATAGTTAGACAGCTACTGAGAACCAGAAAGTACTGGATAACTGTTTTATCGTAAGTATGGGACTCTTTAATTGTGTACATCCTATCACTCTGCAACTATTAGAATCCAAGAAATTCAGATCTTACTGCAAGTGATTAACTTTTAGACTACTGAGATAGCATCGAATCATTTACAGATCTAACATCAGTCAGTTCTCAATACTGAGCAGTAATAATAATCATGTGACCATTAATGACTTATTTCGAAAGGTAATTCCAGGAATTCTAGGAAGAAGCCGTGACCAATGCAGTTCAAACTTGTCAAGTGTGAGGTAGTTAGTTACTGACCAGTTACTCTGAAAGATAGTTTAGCAATATAGCCAACTGATTGAAGTTAAACTTATAAACTGTTAGATTCTCATTCAGTGTTCTAAACGTTAAATGCCAACAGCAATAATTGAAGTTCTTGGCTCAATCTTTTGCTTGGTCATGGACTTGAACCGTTGTAGAGTCATATACTAGAACGTAAATTGCTGTTTATTGCTTCCCAGTTCCCAGTGGTTGTCCAAATAAAACTGGTTTATGATGTAGACTGTGATTCCTAATTTTGCTTCAGCCATTTGACAGCAAAAAGGATATATTACTTGTACATTAAGCAGATAGTTTTAATTAGTTATTTCAAGAATTGTGATCAATATAGGTGAATAAGATATAACCAGCATCAATCTAGTACAGCACATAGAAATATGTGTGGTTAGATTTCTATTGGTTGTTTCAGCAACCTGAAGGTCATCGAAAAGTGTTACGCATGCACGCAAACATGTCATTTTGATAAGCTTGAATTATTACGAGTTTACTATAGTCAGAAAGCGAGAGCGAGGGTCGAGGATCCGGCGACACGACATGCTACTCTAATCCGAGTGTCCTAACCCCCAATAAGTGAAAGAAGATCTGATATGAAGTAGAACCTGTATTCTAGAAGCAGCCAGAAAGTACTAGGTCCGAGTCCAGGAGACAACCAGGATCCCGGACAAGGGATCCGGGTCCGGTCCCTAAAACGTTACAGATAATGTGTATTTACACATTTAGGTCGAGTAGGAAACAGCATCGAAGTATGTGATATTGACAGTTAAGGCGACCAATAAGAAACAACATTGAAGTACGTGACAATGACCAGGATCAAGGATCCGGCGACACGACATGCTACTCTAATCCGAGTGTCTCAACTCCCATTGAGTGAAAGAAGATTGCAGATAAACGAAATTCACATCAGTTAACATGAAACTCTTGGAATGAAGGAATTCTGAATAGCTTGCACAAACTGATAACAAGTCATTACAGATTTATATTCGACAGTGATAATGAGTGAAGGCAAAAATACGCCTCACATTTTTTATAAGTTGCAGATTTGATAAAACTAAGGAAATGATTACAATTAGTTATTTTTTGAAAAAGCTTGACTAATCCAATGTTGAAGACAAATAAGAATTGTCATTATCGATTAAGTCAGTTCATTGATTATAGAATTAGTGGTCTTTCTCTTTGACAGATTATTGTGTAGAGTGATTAGTTAGTTTGTATAATCTTAATTTATCAGTTTAATAAATGGCCTCTACTGTATAATAAATTTTTACGGTGATCAACATTAGCCTATTATTTTGATGAATTTTTTTGTATGACCTATCCAGGTTGTGATTTCATTGACCTGACTATATCAGATTGTACCATTATGCGCTCAGTAAATATGTCATCTCAGTTCTATTGGGTCATTTATGAGATTATTTAAAAAATGACTTATTCCGCAACTCATATATCTATATGCATTTTTATCTGCATGTAACTGCTTAGCTATCTATGTAATCATTTTGATTCTGTAGACTAAATAAATTTTATGTATTAGCATTATCATTATTATCACATTCCCTTCTTAATTCCATTTTATTGACTTGAATTATGGGTGGTCTGAGTAGAATTCAAATGTTTCTAATCCGTTGCCCCGCCAAACTGAAGAAGAAGTCTTGATATGGCGTAGAAAGTATATTCTACAAGCACCCAGAAAATATGATGATCTGAAGCACACAAATCGAGTTTATTTAAACATCATAGAAACGTCCTTGGAAGAACTGTAAAAATAGCGTACTAAAATAACACATCAATCAATGATACTCAAGGATTTTCTTGGTGGGAAATGTATTCTCAAGGTCAACTGATCAGCCCATGCGCGAAAGCATAAAATCCAAACTTAGTACCTTTATCAAGTGAGTTCTGGGGATGCAACGTCCCCAACAGTTATAATCCCAAAAATGCTTTCTATCAAATTTTCTGAGTGAAATACACGTAGAAATGTGACTGGATTATCTGCATACTTTATTTCTGCTTATAAGTTTCAGTAAACAGAATCTTTTAGTGATAAGAGAATGGCAAATGGAAATAAACGATAAACTAAATCAATACTTAAATCAGACAATATGTTTTTACTGTGTAAACAAGATAATTATTCAATCATGTTTTCTCGTCTCAGTCTAAATTAAAATGAATAAGAAAAAAGGTGAATTGTCTGACTAGCACTTAAATTAATTGATAAGACTGGAACTAATATATTTATTGTAAATGTATTGCTGATAACTAAGGTTTGGACCAAGGAATAACTGTATAGGTAGTTTAGATACGCGCCTTGCCCAGGTGAAACCAAAATAAGTGACGGTTCTAATATTCATCATAAATATGAATATACACATCATTACCTAAACAAATATTACCACTCAGTTATTCCACCAACAATTGTTCAATTATTCAAATCAACAGCAACAGATAACTGATATTCTATCCTTCCTTTTTGATAGATCAGATTCGTTCGAAAGATAATATTTGGTTGCTTTATAACACAGTGTTTCCTATTCTGGAAGAGTGCTTCAATTCACAATCGAAATGCACAATTCCAGTCAATGCAAGCAACTTAATCAAAGGAGACATAAATCAATATGGCTGCCGCCATAACTAAGTATCAGCTAAAACAACATAAATGCAGTTCAGAAAGTAACATAGAAACTCAGTGAAGGCAGAAGAAATAGAAACTATAATAAAATATAAATATTTTCATCTCAAATGGAATCGAAAGGATTAACAAAATGTACAACTGAAAGAATCAATAAGAACAAATAACAAGTGTATACATGGAAGGATTTTCACAAGCAAAGCCTTCAAAAATGGATCTTACAATAACTACTATTGAAAGCAAACGTAAATGAAAACGTCATTTTAATCAACAGTAGTGACCGATATAACGGTCATCGATTAGAAAAAAATTCGAAACCTGATCAGTGATGAACTTGTGTTAATCCACTCTCTATCCTCTGTCATTATTTTTATATCAGGAACTGAGTCTAATAAAATGTTGGGGATGTTAGATCCCCCAGGACTCGCTTGATAAATATCTTTATTTTGGATTTATTCCATGGACCAATCAGTTGACCTTGAGATCACATTTCCCACCAGAAAAATCCTTGGCTGTGATTGGTTACTGTGTTATTTTAGTGTGCTATTTTTGTGACTGCCCCAAGGACGTCTCTATAGAGTATAAATAAACGCAATTTGAGTGCTTGGATTGATTGTGTGTTTGCTAGGTGTTTGTAGAGTACAAATTCTACACTATACCGAGATTTCTCGCTGATACCTTTTGATCAGGGGATCACAGTAGCCTACCTGGACGCTGGTTCATTGTTTTGTTCTCGTTATTTGACTAAGGTAAACTCGTTCGTAATAGTTTAAGCATACCTAGACACGAGCGTAACATAAAAAAATATGATCCGATTATACTGAACAGTAAGAAATGAACATTTATGTAGTATTTGTGGCATTTCGGCTTTGATGTTATTGCTTAGTTTACCCACATCATTTTGATTGGATATTATTATCACTCATAAATTATATATATATTCCATATCGATGTTACATTTTTTTAATGATCAAACAGTTTCAATGGAAAAAATGATAGTTTTATAGATCGATTTACCCTATTGGGAAAATGTCAACTTGAAACCAGTAGTTTGTAAAGCATCTATGACATTTAAAGTTAATTTAATTTAATCTTGTTTTATTCTTAACCAAGTACAATATTAACTGGAAACATAGAATACAATGCATAAACATCATTTAGGCATTATTTATCTAGAGTTGAACAGTACAATTTTTTATGCGATTCAATAATTTAGAGTTATGAAGATTAGTGTTTGTTGCACATTGAAATCATTAATCAATCATTGTTAGATCACCATTAGGAACCTGGAAGAAGCGGAAGCCCGTTTCGTCCTGGCATGGGACTCATCAGCAGTACGTATCCACAACTACTGTGAGGTGCAGGAATATTAGAATCATTTATCGAATTTTTTGATTATTTAAGTAGTAATAAACTCTACCATTTCAAAGAATTAAGTGATATAAATTAACATATTCGCAGCAACTTTGGTGCGCGCTACTTATAAGTAGTATATGACGCGAGTGTAAACCTAATGTCTGGCAGCAGAAGATGGGGGAAGATCAAGAAAGGAAGAGTGGGAACACAATGGAATTTGTATGAAACGCATGAATAGTGAAATGTCAGACAATGGATTGATGATGGATTGAAGATTTGCAAATTGACGGTTACGATATGGTTTTCCTATTTTACTGAGTAACTCAGTAATTTTCGTTAAATACAATTCGGTTGCCCTCACCTATGTTCTCCTTCACTACACAACTAAATAATACTGTTAGGTAGTCATTACCCTAGTAGGTTAATGATAATCTAACTGGCTGCATTGGAACTTTTCAGTCTACCAGACTAAATGATAGAGATTCGGATCTCATGAAAAGTATCACCTACCACAAGATTACAAACTTGCTTTATTGATAAATATTAATTGGTTATGAACTGAAGTTGATCACCTATTATGGATTATGACTAACCATAATTCTCACAGTTTGTTGGTGAACTACTCATTTCAGTAGTCTACAGAAATCATTAGATGAGTCAGTTAGTCAGTCAGCAACAACAAAGAACTTCGTACGTAGGTACATCAGTTCAAGTTGCCATGCCACATTAAAACAGAGGTGCGATTGTCACCTCAAATCCCATAGTAGTAGAGGTAGTAGAAGTGTTAGCAGTAATAGGAAACTTTAGGGTTCGACGATATTATTCAAGAAGTAGGGTCTAGTGAAATAAATTTAAAAGCAAAAGATAAAGGCGATGAGGGATTCGGAAGGTTAGGATGCGAGAGAACACAAAGAATGAATGCACACGCATCATTTTGAGTCATGTCATTCAGGGTCTTTAACCATCGATTACTATCATCTTGCGGACCCCAACCAGGTAGCCTACATCGGCCAACATGACTCAGTTCACTTGTCAGTGACTTCATGGATTTCTGCCATGTTTTGGTTTGGCTGATCCTACACCACAAAACATAGCTCGTCGAGGTATTCAGTGGTTAGGCATTCGTAACACATGTCCCAACCACCTCAACTGATGAAGTCCCAATATATCATCGACTGATCTGCCATCCTGGCCTATTACCCGTTTCTTAACTATGGCATTTCTTAACCGATTGTCCCAGGATAGACAAACAATGCTTCGGAGACACCAATGATCGAAAACCAGCAATCTACTAATACGTATCTGTTTTTCGATAAATACACGAATATGTATGTTCAAAAGACGCAGGTTCAATATTAAATAATAATAATAACTTTAATCTATGTGTAAACAACTAAAACTATTATGGAAAAAACAAAACACACAAAAAATTAATCAATTTGTTTTCTACAATTTTGTATGATTATCGTTTGTTTGTTTGTTCTAGTTTTTTTTCTTTATTGTTGACGTGTCAGTGCATGTTGATGCATTTTCTCACGTGATAAATTGATCTGATCAATTGAATAGTTTGAAGGAACATGGTATTCACGTCTCTTTTCTATCTCTTTCATTTTGTGGGAGAACTTATATACTCTTTTTTTTTGTTTTAAAACAAGGAAAAATTAGAATGTCAAGATTTTTTCGATCAATAGTGTCAGTCAATAAGAAGGTGAATGAATATAAGAAAGTTGATTCGATTGAATAAATAGTTGTGATGATAATATATTCAATTGTTCCAATGTTTATGTCAATTGAACAATTGAATGAATATTTAAAATAATAATAAGAAAAAAAAAGATTTTTGAAAATTTGTAAACTATTCATTTTAAGATGACAAAATTCTCTAACTAGGTTGAGAAATGCATAAATTGTTATTGATTTTTAAATTAAATTTGAATATTATTCTCCCTCGAAAAAAAAGAAAAATAGAGAAATAGAGAAAGAGATTAGAAAAGATTCAACATACAATATGAAATTTATTTCACAAGAGAAGAAATCGAAAAAGTAAGAATAAACAAACACATTGTAAGATAAAATGATTGAGTTACTTACTAGACAGGAGAAAAAAAAACGAGAACTCCGACTTCAGGAGTAGGTGTAATGGGAACATATATAATATTCTGTGGATAGCTACTTTTTGGCGAAAAATAAAAGAATAACTGTACTATGAACACGAGCACACAGACACACACACACACACATGTTATTTCTATTTGGGTTACACTAGCTGATAGATACCATCATGCTTGTATGAGAGAGAATATTAAGAGGAGTTCTCATGTAAAATATTAAGTTAACATCATATTCTAAAATGTATACTTGGTTTTTTTTAAAAAAAGGATTGAGGACAGTTGAAAAAGTACACTGAAATCAAGAATAATAAGTAGATCGTTTCAACATTACATCATATTTGTTGTTTGAACATATACAATCTCAATTAACTAACAAAAAAAACAGACATACATAGATCTACATTTCAAACAACACACTATAATAATCCTCCATCTTGTTCAACTATCACTGAACTAACAACTGTATTGAATAATATAAAGTCAATGCTCAATGTCATATGATGGATGACTTGTTTTGCTTTTTTTGATCGGTGAAAACAATTTATGAATTAGAAGAACAATAACAACAAAATCTAATTCAATATAAGGACAATTCAATTGATGAAAAAAAGGAGTTTGGGAATAAACGAATAGGTAGGAATAATATTAAAGAAATGAATAGTATATTAAATCAGAAATAGAGAGGGGTTACAATGATGGACAATGTTTGTTTTATTTAATTTAACAGTATTGTTAATATTTATTCTTATCGTGATTATTTCATTTCACCGACAGTGGAAGGGACTTGAAATGGAAGAGAAAATAAGACAAATTGATTAATTCAATAAGTAAAATTTAAAAATATTTTTAAAATTATGACAAGAATTACTGGTACATTTTGAAATTTTATCTACTTACTTTAGAGAGTTGGCAGTGATTGCCAAATTTTTTTTGGATGATATCAAGAAATGGTCTTAGTTAGATATAAACGCATGATCTTCAAGTTTTCTAATGTAAACCACAAAGTTCAACAAATTACACAAACTTTCCGCAGCAACTGACGGTCATATGACCACCAGTGACTAACTGCGAACGGTAATTCTAGGAGTACTAGGTAGAATTATTGAATGGTGGAAATATTGCGTGTGAGACAGTTGATTAACCACCAATGGCACTGAAGGATAGTTGATTGACAAGGAGGATTGATTGAAGTTAATCATGTAAACTATTTTGTACCAACTCAGTCTTTTCAATGTCAAGTGCGTACAGAAAGACTCAAAAATCTTAGGTTCAATCTCCATGCAGCTATTCCTGGTGTGAAACAGTGAAGTGAGATCAGTCTCTGATGTAATCTATAAAATTATGCCTAAATTTAGCGGTGCTTTTTTGTGCGCTGATAAGTTTACAACTGATATATTCATAAAAATGGTTCATGAATTTACTATTATTTCTGATGGAATATATTAAAACTATCTTAGTTTTGGAGGACGTTAACACCTTTACATATCTTGGCACCATCATCGGCAATCAAGATGGATCCGATATAGCTGTGAGGGTGCGGATCGGCGAAGCAAGGGCTGAATTTCTACAGTTGAAAAATATCTGAAACTCCGAACAAATATCATTCAACACCAAAATCAGGATTTTCAATACAAATGTCAAAACAGTTCTACTGTATGGAGCGGAAACTTGGAGGACTACGAAAACCATCATCCAGAGGATACAATTATTTATTAACAGTCGTCTACGCAAAATACTTGGGATTCGTTGGGCAGACACCATCAGCAACAACGTACTGTGGGAGAGAACAAACCAGATTCCAGTGGAGGAGGAAATCAGGAAGAAGTGGTGGAAGTGGATAGGACAAACAATGCGAAAAGCACCTAACTGCGTCACAAGACAAGCCCCCACGGTGAACCCTCATGGTGAAAGGAAAAGAGGAGGGCCAAGGAACACATTAGGTAGAGAAATAGAGAAAGACATGAGAAGAATGAACGAAAACTGGAAAGAACTGTAAAGGGAAGCCCAAGACAGAGTTGGTTGGAGAAAACTAGTCAGTGATCTATGCTCCATCGGGGATAACATGCGTAAGTAAGTAAGTAAGTAAGTAAGTAAGTAAGTAAGTTTTATTAATACAGTTCTAGGAATATATTCACCAAATATATGCAAAAACATGTTGATAGTTTATTAACAAAATCAGTTCTCTAAACACTAAGTGGTATATCGTTATCATATAATGTTAATTCATAGAATCACTGCTTATCGAAAGGACAGTATTGATCAAGGGCTTAAGAAGCTTGTGAATAGAACTCTGACCATTCATGAATTTTGAATTTTTGAGAATTACGATCAATGAGACATATAATGAATACATTGTGATCTAAAAATACACAGAAAGTTGTGCAAAAAAGAACTCAATTATATGTTAAAAACAACAATCGTTAAAAGGTCTCATTTCTTAATTATAGGAAGTACTTTAGGCGAAGTTTTTTTTGGAATTTCTATCCTTTTCTAGTTTTTTTTTTAAACCATGCATTTCATTTGGGCTACTCTAACAATCGAACAATTAACTGTGAATGCTCCAACTAATAGAGTCTGAGTGAGTTGAAAGTATATGCTGAAACTGAGTTTCTTGCTAACTGGCACTCATCAGTAAGGCACCCCTACAATCCTTTAGGAACTGTTGTGTTGTTTGATGATGGCTGCAAACTAGAGCGAACTCTAGCTTTGGAGTTTCCCATAGACTAACATGGTACACACGATAGCAAATCATTTAGACAGGTAAGTTTCATAAATAATATTTTTAAAAAAGTTTAGCTATCGAAATTTAAAAACATGCAAGTACTATGTAATTAGAAGAAAAACATCTACATCACAGCCAATCAGGTAATCATACTGTCTACTTTACATCTAGACGTTACGTGATGCAGAGAACACATCACTTTGTTTTTTTGTATCGATTTGCCATAAAATTTTAATCATAAAAACTGTGTTGAAATAGACAGTAGTAAAAATTACAAAAGTTAGACTATAACATATTAAACATACCATCTGTAAATCGTCTAGCAATTAATTTCAATGTTTCATCAATAAATATTACTGGTGCAGAGATTTTAATCACCATAAACCATTCTTCTAATGATAATGGAGTGATTTGAAAAACTTTCTACAGATTTAAACAAATCAAAATACGAATATATAATGGGATATTAATTACATTTACTAATGAATGTATTCAAATAATGAAATACAAAATTACCGCACTTAATTCAATCGTTCAATGGAAAATCATGTTTAAGTGGAATAAGAAATGTTTGATCAGTTTTGACGGGGAGGGAGATAAGATAGTCGTTTTTTATTGCAAAATAGAATAATTTTATTTAACAAACTTCAATGGGATTGTAGTAATTACTTTTAGCACTTAGTTTAATTTTGATAGTGTAATATGAGGATGAAGATTATTCGAAGTATGTGATAGATATTATTAGTGCAATACATTTCGAGCATTCTGATCCCGTATATACTTGTAAAGTATGTTTACATGTTTAAAAAAATAAAATGGAAAGAATGAGAGAACAAGGATTGATTTATTACATATAAATGTTCTTGACAAGTCTATATGTGTGTTATGCTCGTCATCTGAGATGCTTGAAACTATAACGAGTTCACCTTAGTCGATAAACGAGAACGAGACAATGAACCAGTGACGCGATAGCCTACTCTAATCCGTTGCCCCCACTAACTGAAGAAAAAAGTCTTGATATGGTGTAGAAAGTGTATTCTGCAAACACCCAACAAATACAATGACCTCAAGCACACAAATCGAGTTTATTATTCATAATACAAACGTCCTTGGAAGAGCCGCACAGTATTATACTAGAATAACACACCAACCAATCACAGTCAAGAATTTTCCTGGTGAGAAATGTGACCTCAAGGTCACCTGATCAGCCCATGAATTAAATCCAAAATTAGGACCTTTATCACGTGAGTTCTGGGGTTCTCACGTCCCCAACAATGTGATCAAACTATTACATTGCTCTATTACATAATTCTGATAATTTTCGTTTTCGTATCACGGCAACCAAATAATTGTTTTTAACATTTTATTTTATCATAGGGCTGTCGAGATTATTGAGTTTCATTAGAATCATAAGTCGATCAATGGTAGATCATCGATTGTAAACCTGGAAGCACTGAACGGCCGTTTCATTCAGTATGGAACTTTTCATCAGTGCGCATCCATGACTCTCGCCGACGAAAATCAAACCCTAGACCTTCGGTCTTGTGCGCGAACACTTAACCTCTAGTTAAAAAAAAATCCAACTGTGATCAATTATGGATCTTCTTTTTTTGGCTAAGAAAAACAACATAATAATTATAGTGATGTGAAGTCGACTGTATCGAATCATATCGAATATTAACGGGCACCGAAATGGTGAGCTCATACATCCACCGGAAGTATTATGCTATCCAGACTATGAAGCTGAGTAATGCCTCTTCTAATTGTGAAACGAGCAACAGCCTTCTAATTACTATAGGTACCTTTTGTTAACTAACATGAAACTTTGACATAGGATTTCCTACCAATAGCCTCCAAATATCTAACATTGTACCCCACTCTAGAGCTGTACAACCAAGGTTTCATTTTATGTAAATTCATGAGTTCACGCTGTTTCATTGTTTCAAGTTAAGATACTAGTGGTCTTCGATTGCTTACATTTGTGGTATGTGTATTAATTTGTCAAGCCCATATGGCTTGTACCAGTCTTCAGGCAAATTGATTAATCCATTCTTTTCAAATTATTCACACGTCTTTCAACCCTGTAAATTATTCGTTTATAACCATTGCTGGGCTTATCACACGACTAGCTTATTTTTTCCTGACTATAAATACTTGGTCATGCCTCATCACATCAAGTTAGCTTACTCGCCTTCGCCACTTTGTTTCGTTTTCACGCTTTTCATCCTCATGTCTCTTTACATGAACAACTGCATGAAATTAACTCATCCAAATGAATTCGTATTTAGCTTCTTATTACAGTCGTCGTACGCGTGAAGTTAGTCTGTAGTGCCTCTACATATATTCCAGTTCGCTTACATCTAACTTGGTTAAGCCCTTTCGATTAATTTATTTAACCAAGCCATTTGTATTGCAACAATTTAAATGTACCATTCGTTCTTATTATTGTCTGGTTTGTATGAGCTCACATGATGTGTTCCACTTGTTATTTGACCTTGTCAATCATTCGTCGCTTTTATTCATGTGTGCCTATTTCGCTTGTTGCATGTCTGTCTTATGTTTGTCTGACTATATATTCTTAGTCACACTCTTATCTCTGGGACTTGGCTTATTAGCCTTCTCTAACGCGCTTCGTCTGTTCATCCGCTTCCTTCGCTCATTCGTTCGCATTGTAATTCTAGGAGTTGGCTTATTAGCCTTCCCCAATCCACGTCACATCATTCGTTTTATACGCTGCTTCGTTCATTCTTTCGCGCATTCGATCGCCAGTGTATACAAATGGTGATCCCGACATCAACAAAATCGGTCACCTCAAGTCGAAATATAACATAGGGAAAATAAAAGAAAGATTTATTTTACATTGAATTCAAATGTTCGTCTAAATTAAAAATCAGATCCCACGCCACTAAACAATGCTTCACTGTGCGATACAGACCAATTTCAAGCAAATCTTAATCAAATAAACATTGCAAAAAAAAACTCAAATAAAAAGAACTAAATTGAACTTACTGAAAGAAAGTCAACTTCTAAAATCATGAAATGCAATGACATACTAACAATCATAGCAAGTACAAGCCATATATTTACCCATGGAGGCATAGCAACCAATGATTGATTTTCTGACAAACTGTTGAAATAAAACACCAAATAATAACAACAATAATAGAAATAAGAAATTATTTTTAAATTCAAAAAAATAAAAAGATACCCTACCACTATGCTTAAACAAGATTCATTTGGTTAGTGAAGGTTCATTTAAGTTCTCTTGTGAATGAATCACTATTTTTGATGATGAAATTGAAACCTGAGAAAAGATGGTGAAAATATTTCTTTTTCATCAAAACTAGTCTAATTTGTCTGAAAAAAAGATATGTATATATCAAAATACGTTGTACTTGTTAAAAAAGCAATCGTACCATGATATGTAAGATTCATTGCATAGTGTCAAGTGTTTTTTTAATGCCAATGTGACTATACTTTGTACAGATTAAACATGTAGTGAGGCTTAAGTTCGATTGTCTAGTGTATGATAGCGAAACAAAGGAAATTTTCTCACAACTGAAAGATTTTGATAGTTCAATTTTAATAGGGGGATTAGATTTAGATGAAAGTAACAAAATATCAATCTTCTGCAGTCAGTCAGTCAGACAGTCAGTTACAACGTTGAACTTCGTAAGTAAGTACATCAGTTCAGGTTGCCATACTACATTAGCACAGAGACGCATTTGTCAGTTAAAATCTCATTGTGGTGGAGATAAGGAGAAGAATAAGCGGTAAAGGAGAATATTAAGGATCGAAGATGTTATTCAAGAAGCATAGTTCAGTGAGATGATGAGGAATTCAGAAGGTTAGAATTTCAGCGAACACAAAGAGTGGATGGACCTGCGCCGTTGCAAGCAATTTCGAGCCATATTGTTCAAGGTCTCTAACTATCGAATACTATCATTTCGCGGACACCAGCCAAGTAGCCTACATCTACCAACATGACTCAGTTCACTTGTCAGTGACTTCATGTATTTGTGTCATGTTTTGGTTTAGCCGCCCCTAACTTCTACTCTGTCATTCATTTACTAACCAAGTGTAAATTTCACGTAATTGATCAATTTTTGATCAGAATGTCTGGTCAACAATCTTAATAAAATCTCCTGAAGAGGGTCAGCATAGATGAGACAGACATCTTTTTGCCTTGAGTTAGAAAGTACCTTCGTACAACAAAATCAGCTGATCAATTAAGGTTACCAAAAACTGACTATTTGGTAACTGAATTAAGTAGTATGTGGTAATAGTATACTAATCTGCAGGTTTATAAGCCTTTTTACTAGTATAAAGATAAAATGATCTGATCGCCTGTTTACCATAAAAATACTGATTATAATCGATTGTCAACACTAATCCGACTTATTGTAATCATTTGTTTTGCCAACTATGATATCGTCAGACATCACAATCAGTATAAAAAATTACGAAGCAATGGACAATCATTCTTTTCTATCGTCTATTTTATTTTCACATCATTTCAGTTAGGCTTTTGAATTTGTTGAAGGTTGGACTGACGAAGTATTTCGAACAATTAGATACAAATGGTAATGTTAAGCCAAGTGGATTACCATTATGAACAGTTTATTTTCTGCTTTATGTCCATGACAATATTAGTTTCAACTAAATTGAAAAAAAACGGATAATTTTCGAACTATTTACCAAACAATGAACTATACAAGTTAGCTAATATGATGCTTTTTACTAAATGCTAAATAAATCTCATCATTTTAATGAATTAACTAGATATTCAATGGTTTTGCTTGTTTAAATAGTATTTATTATTAACTACTGTTGCAGTAAAATATGACATTTTCTTTATCTTTTAAATGTACAAATCATTGGACTGTTTTGTATACATAAATATCAGTCAGTAGTCAGTAGTCAGTATTAGATGATAATGAAATCAGTAAAATTGATGATTGTCAACAATGACAAACAAAAATTACTGTTTAACATTTAGTTCTGTTTAAATGTCATACATCATATTTTGGTTAAAGGAGAAATGAGGAAAAAAATATAGAATGTCACAAATGGTTAGTTATACAATATATATAAGTTAAGAAAGTAATATTTAAAGCTGAATACCATTTTCATATTCAATCAACCAATCAATCAACAGCAACGTAGAAGAACTTCGTTTGTATATCAGTTCAAGTAGCCATACCACATTAGCACAGAGATTGATTGAGACCTTCGGTAGAACTTGCGAATTGAATGTAATCCCATCCGACTGGTCTCAATCACTGATAGTCCTAGTCCACAAAAAAGGAAAGAAGTTCTCTTGTGACAATCACAGGGGAATCAGTCTAACTAATATAGTTTATAAATTTTTAGCCTCAATTATCGTCAGATTGCTAACTAGAGCTCGTGAAGAGTAGAATAGAGAAAACCAGGCTGGATTCTGACCTGGATGTGGCTGTATAGACCACATTTTCATATTACTGAATTCGGTCTATTTCAATAAATTGTATTGATTCGTTTAAAATTGGTATCAATTTTGAGAATGCAGAAATTACTAGCTGGAGATTATAACTAAAATGAATCGAAGTCATTCTTACGAATTTAGGTTTATTCACTTTTTGTTAGCACACCTTTTAAAGCTCGATTGAGTTTTGAATTACACTTTTTCCTTTACTCTTCTCCCTTTTTTAAAAGTCTAGTTATTCTATTATGTAAATACTTTTGTAAGATCATGCTGGAGTTTCGTTCTATGAGCTAGATATTTTGGTTGTGAAACTATCATTGTTCATCTGAACAACATCATCAGCACAAACTTCAGATAGAAGTGAAGCATTTGAATTTCTCCACGTACGACTCATAGCTTTTTGTTAGGTTACGTGTATTTTAGTTAAGGTAACAGTTAACAAATCATTATTATGTTCGGGCCTAAAAATATTCATCTGTCTATCAGAGTAAGTTGAATCAACATGTTAGATATGGAAAAATAACTAGAGAACATGGAATTGCTTTAGAACTATTTCTGAGGTGGATTATTAGGCATATTTTTATTCTATGTTTGGTCATTTGCATTTTCATACTTCTCCAAACGTAAACTTTCATAAATCACACTGAATCGATTGTGTAATTGTTACTGAGTTTTATGCTACGAATGGTCTTTTTGGGTGCAGATTGTGATTTTTTGGCAGATAGCAAGTCGTGGATTTGTTGCTGATGTACACTATCATATGAGTTTTGAATGTCCTGATTAGACAGATGAAGGAGAAGCTCAAGTAAATATGTGTCAGAGTACTGAGTAGAGATTTTCGTAACATAAAAGTCACCAGTACTCATTGGAGTAAAGTGCACTCATTATTAATAGGTCCAATAAAATCAATGACCATATTCGTGTGAATGTATCTTCAGAGTGAAAATATAAAACTATTCTGCTTACGAAGACCTTTACATCTTGATTTAGGAGAAATTCATACAACTAGTATTTCAATCTACTTTTATAGCTCTGTCACTTAGTCTCCTCAACTTCTGTCTGACTCCAGTCAACTTCTTAACAGTCAGATTGTTAGAATATTTATCTAATATCCTAAGAGGGTTATTTGTAAGTCTAATTCTATTGGTCCATTCCTATTGGTCGTCCTAACTATCAATGTCACACACTTCAGTGTTGTTTCCTATAAATACACATTATCTGTAATGTTATATGAACCGAGCCCGGGCCCGAATCTTTAGTCCGGGATCCTGATTCTCTTCTGGACTCGGACCTCGTCCCTTCTGAATACTTGTAGAATACATGTTCTACTCCATATCAAGTCTTCTTCTTTTACTCAATGGGGGTTTGGGACGATCGGACTTGAGTAGCCTGTCGTGTCACCGGATCCTCGATCCTCGCTCTCGTTTACTGACTAAGGCGAACTCGTAATAGTTCAAACATATCGAATGATGTGTTTACGTGCATGCGTAACACATATAATCTCGGTTATATTTTAAAAATTATGTAAACAATTTACGTTTACAATTTAAGCATCATAATAATAGGAAAAGTTATGATATTCCTGAAATACAGTCCAAAATTTAAAAAAGTACCAGAAAAAACAGCGAACATAAATAATAGATATAATCCTTGAAACTGTATCACAATGTTACAATGTATCAGTAGTATGTGCAAACGGACACAATAAACTTAAAGAAATAACGCTGTGGTTTACTGAGTAGGCCGCCACTATGAATTTCTTTGTAATTATTTCATTATGTATTGAAATGTGTGCATAATTATGTTTGTGAAACTTCTTTCAAAATAAAATACCTACTTGTTCACAGCCGAGCAAAGGGGCTTTTAATTTTCTGTTTTCTTTTTCTTAAAAATATACTCTGATCAAAGAATCTTAGTGGCAGCCTACTGCAGTAATGAAAATAAGGGCTCCACGGTGAATGCATTGCATGCTGGACACATACGAGTAAGTTTTCTTAGTGTTCAGTGCTATATATATACATAACCATATTTACTCAAACACTTATGAAAAGCAATGATTAGGTTCTAATGAATAATTAAATTACTTAATAATTGCATAATCACCCTAGGAGCCCCTTTGTTCAGCATGAAACAGTAGGTAATATTATTATTATTATTATATAACATGGAAGAAAAGGTTAGGTTATAAATGCATGCAAAAATTCACCAAGTTTAAAATGATGCTTAATTTTTTAATGATGGATATGTTTATTTCACTGTTTGGTTGTTTAAATTTGAATGGAAGTAATGAGTGATCATGTAATTTGGGTTCATTATGTAATGAACTGTCTGTGAAAGTGTGTGTGGACGGCCTACTCACCTGTTCATAGCGTTTAACATTTCAATAAGAACCAGAACAGATAAAGCCATAGTCATAGGCTTTGGATGACTGAATATGGAACAGTCAACACCTTCAAATCGTGATTCCTGAGCTAAACACTGAGACTGATGAGTCTAGAGATTTAGAAGGAAAACAAAGAATTTAAAAAAATAAAATAATTCACAAAATATAACATTTTCAATTGATGCCAAAAAAGAAATACCTGTTCAATGCATTAAACATTTCAATAAGCACTAAAACAGATAATGCCATAGTCATTGGTTTAGGATTTTCAAATATATGACAATCGATTCCATGGAAGTTATCCTTTTCTGCCAAACATTGCATATGATGTGTCTATATAAATGAAATTATAGTCGATAAAAATGAAAAAGAGAAAAGTATACTTTTGAGATATGAATAAGAAAGATTATGCCTTGAAAATGTTGTCCAAATCTATATCAGAAGGGTTCAAATGAAAGACACTAAGCATTCATTCATTCTTCAAAACATTGACAGTGAACATTTCAACATAACCTTTTGAAATTAAATGTTATGGATCTAAAATATTACCTAGTGATGAGGATTTAGATGAAATCGATTAATAACTTGTTACTTATTTAGTTCTGATTTCTAGAAATATCCAGAACATCTGTCAATAAATAAATCAATCTACTTTTGACTTAGACACCAGTATCTCAGAGTAGTGATAATCTATGAAACCGCCAAGTAGGTGTAAGTTTGTGCCAACACCTATCAATCACCAATATCGATGAACATAAAATAAAAGGATGAGCTAATCAGGAACAAACAAATCGCCCCTAATTTTAAACTCATCACCATACCATCTATTTGTTTATAATATTTAAAAACTGAATTTGAAGTTTACCGTCATAGTAAATTTTAGTAGCAGTTCCTTAATGATATCAACAAGGATTGTGGTTTCTGTTTCGTGTTTTCTAAGTTGCTCACGGATATAGAGAACAGTCCCCCCTAAGTGGAACATTGGTAAACAGTAATGTTACATCATTATTTGTTGTTTAATGTTTATGTTTCCGATCTTGTTGATGAACTGTAATAGATCATTCATACTTTGCCTCACAAGATGTTTGTGGAGTACTTTTAAAATAGTTACAAACCATTTTACTAGAGTTTGATAAGGGCAGCTGTACCTGTTCAGAATTAGCTTCAACAGGATATCCACTTTGTGTATCTTCGATAATCTGTATAACGTTGGTAAATGAGTATCTTTTGGGCTTAATTGTTTTGTATATGTTTGGTGAAACTACCTGTTGACCTCTAAGCTGTTTAAAAAATTTCCTCGGTTGATTATCCATCTTAATATTGATGTCTTTTTGGTGATTTCGTTTTTGGGATTTCAAATGATTAGTGAAGATATAATTCATCTTGTCAGTATAGTTCTTTTTTGTTAATTAGAACAGTTCCGTGATAGCTTCCTCGTGTTTTTCCGGTTACTATATCTACTGTTCTTAAACTGATAGCAGCAGTCAATCAGATTCGATTTGAAACGTTCACAGAACTAAATCTCATGTCTGACGAGCTAAGTTTTAAAATTAGCTATCTGTATCTGTTTGATTAATATGGTTGCGTGTATCACTGAATGTAAGACCTAATGCTAACACTTCAAGTTTTTCTTGGCTTTCGAAAAGTTGGACACACTTTTTTCTATCTGATCTTTGCTTAATAACCCTTGTAACATAATCCGTGAACTGGGACTTAAGATATTCTGTTACCTCATCAATTGTAAGTTTTTTTGAGAGCAATGTATCAGTTTAATCTCATGCATAGCATTTTATTGGTTTTCTGTTTGTATGAACTTGATTACGGCGTAATGACTTGTAGAATAATTTCAGATAATGACATAATTAAATTCAAATTAAATTCAAATGACGTTTCCGTTCCTATGAACTGTGCACCATACTTCAGAAACTTACTGAATGACTTCGATACAATTGGCTGATCATAGCATTTTAATCTTTGAAAAATTCATTCCTCAATACATACTACTAGTAGTCCTCTTTAGTATAACAAATTCTATCTTGCAAGTAATAATTTAGTCAACTAAAATGATTTCAATAGATATCGAAAGTATGTCAAAAAATATGACTGTGTAAAGTTTGTTTTCGTATTCACAATCAATGAGGCCTTTATTTTAAATTTTGTGGGCTAAATATTCTGAAATTAAAATGTTCATAGTAGTTGTTTTGATGTTAAAATGTTAACTGTTTTAAACAGTTATTCAACTTGATCAATTCTACCTGAAAATAATACAATCTACAGTGATAGTAAATTGGGTTTTTCAAAAGTTATTTTAACTTTTGTGATAAAGCATGAATAAATTCTATCATATGTATTGATCATGAAAATTTTTTAAAACAAAGTGGAAAGTATCACTTAATAAAAAATTTCAACATGAGAGTTTGAATACATGAAATACTTACTCATTGAATAATTCATTAAACTTTCGCCAGTTGAATAGCAAACATAGACTTCCATCTAATATACATCTGTTTTTATTTTATCAAGTAGACAATTAGTTGTAACAGGCCTTACATTAATGTAGTAGCATAATGTTGAAGACGTTAGATCCCCAGAACTCACTTGATAAAGGTCTTAATTTTGGGTTTTATGCTTTCGCGGATTGGTCGATCAGTTGACCTTGGGATTACATTTCCCACCCGTGAAATCCGTGACTATCATTGTTTGTAGTGTAATTTTAGTACACTACATTGTGGCTCTCCCAAGGACGTTTCTATCATAAATGAATAAACTCAATGTATGTGCTTGTGAACCTCATATTTTCTGGGTGCTTGTAGAACACACTTTCTACGCTATATCAAGACTTTCTGATATCGTTAGCAGGATCGGGGACAATCGAATCACAATAGCCTATCGTGTCACTGGATGATTTATCTTCGCTCTCGTTTACCGACTAAGGTGAACTCGTAATAGTTTCAATCATATCAATCGACGAGCGTAACACATAAAATCAATGAAATAGATCTAGTCCTGTTTATAGAATTGCATCAACTTACTTAATTAGTAATATAAGTTAATGCCAAATGAAATAAGCAGTGATCACGTTAAGGAGAGTTTAATAAATGACAGTGATAACTGGTAAGGATAATACTTTTCTCAATCATATTTTTACAGTGACGCTTGATGTTATTATCTGACTGATCGTGTTAGCACTTCTAGTTTGTCTGCAGTTTAGTGTACATTCAATTAAACTATGTGCAAAGTCAATCCATTTCAATTTCAATTCCTGCTTTAGAATCTGAATTTAAGCTAAGATTCATATCATCACTATTATTAACTTGTATATTAGTATTTGTTATACTCGTCTCTAGGTATGCTTAAAACTATTATGGATTCACCTTAGTCGAATAAGGAGAACGAAACAATGAACCAGCGTTCAGGTGGGCTACTCTGATCAGTTGACCAAATTGTATCAGCGAGAAAGTCTTGATATAGCGTAGAAAGTGTATTCTACAGACACCCAACCAGCACACAATACATCGAAGCACACAAATCGCGCTCATTTATACTCTATAGAGACGTCCTTGGGCGAGTCATAAAATAGCACACTAAAATAAGACAGTAACCAATCACAGTCAAGGATTTTCCTGGTAGGAAATGTGATCTCAAGGTCAACTGATCGGTCGATAAAATAAATTCAAAATAAAGATATTTATAAGGCGAGTTCTGGGGATCTAACATCTCCAACAGTGTTGCTTAAAATGTCATTGTTTATCAGTTGCCCTACACTTGAATTCATATTAGATCATGTTTGTATCGGCAGAATCTCTTCCACTCATTTATTATCGGCATTTTGTTTTTCGCGTTAAATTAATTTGCATCGGTTTATTTTATCATTTACCGTGTCTTTTTTTTCAATGAAGATTTAAAATGTACTTCTACAGTATTATTAAAACATTTCTTTAAAAGATAATTTTATACATTGTTGGTTTAAATGAAAATGTCAATTAGTACAATCATTGAAATCATAACAAACCTTTGTTTATTTTTTTCATAAGAGAAATCTAATAAAATTCATGTATTTGATTTGGAATATTAAATAATATAGGTTAGAATATATATCTATGTATATATTCTTTCAGTTCATTAGAATAAACAAACAAATATATTCAGGAAAAAAAACTTGACCTTCAACAGAATGTCAATCAGCTTGATAAAATTATTATGATGGATAACAAATTGATGATAAGTAACATATAATACTGATATTATTGTATCTTTTAATTGTTTTGTTGATAATTCTTTCCCAAAATGATATTTAATGGTAAATGCAGGCTGTTGAAAGTTTTATTCTCAAAAGAGCCATATCATCAGCAATACATACCCAGAAATTTTAGGCTTAAAGGTAAGCGCGTTGCTTTTCGACTGTTCAGTTGAAAAGTATCATCTACCTTTCCAGCTTTGGTTGACTTGTAAAATAATTAGACGACTATAAGTATCATCCATGACGTATGTCCGATTTACTACAATTGAATAACTTGAAACCCTGTAAGTACCGAATTCGCCGGCTGGTTGGGTTGTAGATGTTCGTTACTGATGAATTTCAATGTAGAATGAAGTAGCTGTTTGGTGTAGCTAGATGTGTGCTGGTTATTTAGCTGGTAATAATCCATCATGAAGATTATCAACAAATAGGAACAATTTACACAAACTTTTCAAATGGATCTTATTTCTTCTGTTTTTATTAATCGTTAGTAAGGAGATATTGACCAGCAGGAAAAAAAACTGATAACTGCAAAGCTTTCAGCTCCTTTGGTACGAAATGTTTATGTGATCATTTTCAATGGATTTATATAAATAAATAGGCGTTCGCACGTAAGACCGAAGGTCCCGTGTTCGAATCTTGCGACATACAGGAGTCGTGGATGCGCAATGCCACTGATGAGTCACATACCAGGACGAGACGGCAGTCTTTCAGTGCTTCCAGGTTTCTCAATGGTGTGGTCTAACATTGATCGATTCATGATTTCAAATCAATAAGTACTACAAAATAATTCAGATGTAGCGTTTGTTTTCCTGCCTTTGCTAATCAGTTTTATGTTATTTCTTTAGAATGTTCTTCAAATGAAAATTTATCTTTTTCTTATGTAACTCGCTTAATCTTTGAACTCTTTTTTGAAGTTTTGACTTCTTACTAATAAACAGAAACTGTTTATAGTTTCGAAGATATTTACGTTCACTAGATACAAATTGAAAGAATAGATCACTAACGTTTTAGTTGGATCAACAGCCTTCACTTGATCTTACAAGGGAGTAATAATTGTAATGCTTCACATCAATTTGAAAGAAACTAACAGTATGAAATTAAAATGGAGATATATATATATGCATTACGGTGTTGTGAAGATTGTTAAGTTACACATTTTGGAACGGTTAGGGCGTTCGCGCACAATACCGAAGGTCCTGGGTTCGAATCATGCGGGGTGCAGGAGTCTTGGATACGCACTGCTGAGGAGTCCCATGCCAGGACGAAACGGCCGTCCAGTGCTTCCAGGTTTACAATGGTGGTCTAACATTGATCGACTCATGGTTTCAAATATATATATATATATATATATATATATATATATATATATATATAGAGGATTCATGTTCTTTTGTTTTTCATTACACTTACCAATTGATAATAATTCAATTGTGGTCCTTTAGGATAAAGACTAAACCACCAAGCTGCAGCACCAACTGTTGCACAGCCAACATAAACACCAATTGCAACATAACGGAAAAATAACCAACCAGAAATTAAAGGATCTTTAATATTTCTTGGTGGACGATCCATAATATCTAAATCCGGTGGATTAAATCCTAAAGCTGTAGCTGGTAAACCGTCAGTGACTAAATTGACCCATAGAAGTTGTACTGGAATTAAAGCTTCAGGTAGACCCAATGCAGCAGTTAAAAATATACTGACCACTGTAGTAAAGAGAAAAACTCACAAATCAATTTCCGATATATTTTGTATTAAAATAATACGAAATATTTCTAAGAAATCTATTTGAGTAAATCTATTCCAATGATCATAGAATTTAAACAGCTTCGTATAAACAAGGAACGATAAAGTACATGTTCGATCGAATGTAAAAAAGTCAACTATTTGAAGAAATGAAATAAACGAAAAATGATAGATTCATCAATTTACTTGAGGCGTTTGAGAATCCAGAACATGATGTCAACACCTACTGTATTTGTCAGTCGACACAAACATTTAGTCAAGCATAGACAGGGAGAATATATCAAGCTATACAGATAAGTATCCGGACGTATTAAAATGTAGTTACAGAACTAAGTCGAAACATACAATTCCATGCGTTCAGTAACAGTCTTCGAATTTCTACCATTGTTATACATGATGAGAACAGCTAGTATGGAACTCTGCCGCAGTATTCATCTACTATCCCCGTGCACGGGAGTCGAATCCAAGATCTTTGGTTTCACGTACAAATGCTTAACCTATAAACCACTAAGCCGGTATCCAACAGTTTTAATGCCGGACTTCAACCACTCCATTATGTTGCACGACCTCATCCAGTGTAGTCAGGAGGTATCTGCGTAACACCCGACCCTGGTTGCACTCCACTGGAACAAAATGACCATCCAGTGCTTCCAGTGATGGTCTAACATTGATTGATTCATGGTTTCAATGAAACTCAACAATATCCATTTCCCTATACTAAAAACCATCCACCAATCACCATATAATCGATTCATAGATGGCTATATATATTTGTGAAGAAGTGAAACGTGATATGTTGTAGGTATTTATAAAAGCACTCATTCATCCTTTTTTTCTCGTTCATTTGTTAATACACGCTACAAAATTATCCGAGTTTTTCACTCAACGTGTTCTTATTTACTCAGCTGAGTGTTAAGTAAGATCATTTGACATACCTAGTAAGAGATTACACTGTGAAATATCATTGAGAGAGGTCATAGAAATAATCTGAATATATCATTAGAGTCCACCAAAAGTATATTCCCAAATCAGTTATATCTTTAGTGATTAAAAAGTTCAATTGTATTTTTCATTTATTAATAAATTTAAACTTCGTATCACCTTAAATACATCAATGTAATAATCTTTCAATATTATGTTATTTGTATGTACTATTATGTTTACAGTTTATCAAATTTCGTTTTTTTTCAATTTAACCTTTAAAATTCAATCTCACATGATTATTCCTCATTTTCACTCCTCTTCTATATTTAGTTATTTATTATTGATTATGTGTATGGTCGAATTGTCAGAAATTAAAATTGTATAAATGTAATTACTACTTACTACACAGCGAAACAATGATTGTATACTATTCAAGTATTAATTTTCTATTCGCATGTCATCATGAAACTTGACAGTTTACATGCACTACTTTAAGATTAATCTAAAGATCTCCGCATCCAGTTTACAGATACAAGTAATATTTGAATGAATAATTGCTATCAATTACTTTATAATCGTTGTCTATAATTACAAATTCATTATTTTTCTGTATTACAACAGATAAAATTGTTATGCTCGTCACCTGATATGCTTGAAACTATTACGGGTTCACCTTAGTCGTTAAACGAGAACGAGACAATGAACCGATGTCCGGGTAAGTTACTGTGACCTCTTGAACCAATTGTACCAGCAAGAAGTCTTGATATAGTGTAGAAATCGTATTCCACAAACACCCAGCTAGCACACGATACATCCAAACACACAAATCGCGTTTATTTATATTCTATAGAGACGTCCTTGGTAGAGTCACAAAAATAGCACACTAAAATAACACAGTAACCGGATTTTTGTGGTGGGAAATGTGATCTCAAGGTCATCTGATCAGCCCATGAATAAAATCCAAAATTAAGACATTTATCAAGCGAGTTCTGGGGATCTAACGTCCCCAACAAAAATAAAAGCTTAAACGACAATTTTACATGTTAAACTAGAGAACTTTTCCATTCGATACGACTGCTAATTACATCCCAAATGTGTTGTTCGTGAAGTTTGAAACATCATTTATGAAAGGCTAGGAGATATCACTTCTTTGCTTTACTATTATTATTTGAATCAGATAAGTATTCATCAATAGGGAAAACACAATTACATGAAAATCATATCAAATGATAATTTATTAAATTGAAGTAAGTAATTATGGTACATAATATTCAAACACTGTCAGGAATTCCATTTAGTGAAAATATTTATTTTATTAAAATGCAGATATTACTTGATTATAACGATAATAAATATGATATACGTGCATATATTGTTAAAAAGTTTTTCCATTCAGTTATCCCATGACAGACTAAGCCGTCATTTGATTCTGCACATATAAATTTATGACTTAAACTACGTGATTTGATGAGTTAGGTATATGGATAAGTTTTAAACAAATTTATCAACTGATTTGGCCAGTAGGTACTGATATTAATAGAATTTAGGTTTGTAATTTCTTTTCCATTAGGCTTCATCATCTTACATTCATACATTTAATACAAGAATTGATTTCGACCAATTTGGTCTCGTGTGCTGTTACGGGTATGAGGGCGTTGTCACTTCCTGGCTGCCCACACCATGGAAGGTTGTTTCTTCAGGGACCTGGAAAGGAAGATAGATTAGTGTTGGTCTTAGAGACCTGGGTGTATGACCGTAGAGCCCAGGGGACAACAGCTTCAGGCCGGTCACGCACGGCCTTTTTATGAAACGTTCTTTGAGTATTAGCTCCGCACTTGAAAGCCCTTAGTGGGCACTCTTATCGCCGAAGATGGAAATCCATGAGGTAGGGTGAGGTATGACATTTTAAGGGTCGACCTTTTCTAACCCTTCCTTCCTTGTGAGAAGGCAGCATCGCTGCAGATGCTGGTTGTCCGAGGGAAACACCTTACTGCTGTCACACCTCTCTGCAGTCAGCAGTATGACTTCGCCCTCAGACCTTGGGTAGCTGCTTTTAGTCTCATCGTTCTCTAATCGACCTGCCTGGCATGGTATAAACTTCAGGAACATATGTTCCAACCAGTATAGTTCGGTAGGGTCATCACGATAGGCAAGCCCGACCAGCACGTCAAGGTAGCAGCTACGGTCTTCAAATCGTAACCTCTCCGATTACTTCTAATACCTTTACTACCTCTACTACTATAGGGTTTGAACTGACAACTGCATCTCTGTGTGCTAATGTGGTATGGCAACATGAACTGATGTACTTACGTACTAAGTTATACGTTGCATCTGACTGACTGACTGACTAATAAAAGAATTAATCCACCTTTCATAAAAACTTCACCATTGAAAATTTCATTAAAACAAAAAAACTCAATTTTACCTTCACCAATATTTGATGAAATCAAATAACGAATAAATTGTTTCATATTATTATAAATAGCACGTCCTTCTTCAACAGCTAAAACAATTGAAGTGAAATTATCATCAGCTAACACCATGTCAGCTGCTGATTTTGCAACAGCTGTACCACTACCCATAGCAATACCGATTTCGGCTTTTTTAAGCGCCGGGGCATCATTCACACCATCACCAGTCTGTCAAGGATTTTGGTTATAAATGATGTTGAATGAGAAAAGTAAAAGAAAACACATATTAGATGCGTGAACATATTCGATTTTTTTACTAGTAAAGTAGATTATATTACAATGAAATAACATTATTCTAATTTAAAGAGAATAAGTATAAATCAAATGTTGATATTTATAACAGACTAACTTATTAGAAGATATTAAGACGGGACAAATCAGGCATCAAAATATTATAAAAATGTAATAGACGGTTATGTAGAAAAGTTCCTAATTCTTTTAATTGTCCCTAAATGAATATTTTAAATTGACCAGAAGAAAATTGAACATTTAATAACCGTTAGTATTTGTTGAATAATTGGCGGTTATTTTAACTCTGTAATCCAACGATACTCATTTACATATAAATCCACTAGTTGGGTGAATCAAGAATAATATCAAATAAAAAACACTTCGTTCTAGTATTCTAATTATAGACTGTTATCAGTATACATCACTTCTAGATTCTTCATCAATTTTAATGCAGATACCTACAGCGCATAACCAAGTAGTGATTTGAATGTACTTGTACGGAAACAATACCAAGGATATACTTACCATAGCAGATACTTCACCATCTTCTTGAAGAAATTCAACAATTTTACTTTTATGCATCGGTTCAACACGTGCAAACAATCGAGCTCGTCTACATGCTTCTCTTTGTTCTTCAATAGGGAGTGCATCAAATTCACGTCCAGTAAAAGATTTCCCACTAGTTGGTTCATCTTCACCGAATATACCAATACGTCGACAGATTGCTTCAGCTGTTGCTTTATTATCACCAGTTATCATGATAACACGTATACCAGATTTACGACATCTTGCTATACTGTCAAATACTTCCATACGTGGTGGATCTAACATACCGACAACTCCAACAAATGTTAAATTTTGCTACATGAGAAATAATCAAACAAAGTTGGTTCATTCTGAAAGGATTATCATATCTTATTCATTTATGTCAAAGTAAAAGTTGAATACCAATAAAATGTCTCTGTGAAAGAATCTTATAACAATAATAGTCCCTACAAAATACTGAGTAACTCCACCTAGAGACCCTCAAGGGTTGATGATACTCCCGACTCCAGATCAAAGAGAAGGGTCAGACATATATTTAGCAGCCTTATTCCTTAGGAAAGAAACTCGCGGAAGAACGCTAACCAGAGAAAATCACACAAACCATTTAAATTCTACATTGGGAGTTGAAGCGCCTCTATTCAGATGAGTTATGATGCCTTAGGTTGGAAGCCAAGATCCGTCGGAAATCACAAGAACAACAGCCATCCTGACAACCATGACAACAATTAATTTACGTAAATAGAATTTCTTCACAATGTAGGAGAACATGATAATCACTCAAATAGCTGTTGAATTGAGAACACACAACCAGGAAGTACTTGAAACAGGTGAAAACCATTGAATGCAAATTGGATAAAACCGATTTGCTTTGTGAGAGGTGCTCTCAGATAGAAGAATATGTCCCACCACACCTGATAGAAGTTGCACTGATGTTGTTCACAGCGCAGATCATCAAAGCATCCATGAAAACAAAGAAGGAGGGGATTACAGAGAATGTCATCCAGTTCTAAGTTTCCAATGATAATAGTAAGGTAAATGATGAAGATCAGTTTTACCAGAGGCTGTAATCAATCATAGAGAAATGCACAATAAAGGACCTGACTATATTGATGGGAGACCTAAACGACACGGTCGGAATGGACAACATTAGATATGAAAGCATTATTGGAAGACATGGACCGGGAGAAAGGAATGTAAACGGTGAGAGATTCGCATATCCATGAGACTTTGACAAAATGATTATAAGTTCCAACATACTCCTCCACAGATGAATACACAAAGTTATCTGGGTTTCACTGGACCACATTGCAGAACCAGATTGATCACATCTGCATTATTAAAAAGTTCAAATGCTACATGGAAAATGTAAGAGCAAAGAGAGGAATTGATACAGATTCAGATCAACACTTGATGGTGGCCTAGATGAAACTGAATCTAAGGAAGAACTGGGCAAATGTACGAATAGCACTACAGAAGTTGAACATTCCCTTCTTCAAGATATAAACTCAACGAACTCAAGATATATCTCTTCAACAAGTTCCAAACCTTTCAAGATCTACTCAACTGGGAAGGGATTCAAGAAATGAAGAACAAGAAAGCAGCATTTGATATCAGCCGATCGAGAGTAGATAAAGCCAAGACACAAGCTGAATACGCAGAGGCAAACAGGCGAGTGGAGAGGAGGATCAAAGCTGATACGCTTGAAAATATGAAATACTCGGCCATGAAAGTGGAAAAAGTTGTAAGAGAAGGAAACATGAGACAACCATTAATGCGAGAAAGAAGCCCATTGGAAAATATGGTGAGCTGGAACGACTAGTGGAGAACAAAGATGACAGAGCAGTCACCGACAGTGAATAACAGCGAAACGGCTGTGCAAAACACCTTTAAGAGCTCTCTAACAGACCAGCCTCACTACTTTCATCCTTCCTCTTTCTGCTTGTGGTTAACTGTCTCATTAAAACTTCAGCATCTCAAGTAAAACACGGAATACATTGAAGAGCTTGAGTGTAACTCGACTATTTTAAATTCACTGGTGACTTGGCTCTCCTATCCCACACACAGCAACAAATGCACGAGAAGAATTCAATTGTATCAGTAACCTCTGTAGTTGTGGTAGTGGGCCTCAACATTCTGAAGGGAAAAAGTGAGATCCCGAAATGTAACACAGAGAGCGTCAGTCGAACCACACTTGACATAGAAGCTAAAAGTCAAAAAGCTACTATCATCACCAACGAGTAGGTATAAGTAATTATAAAAATCCAACTATGCAAGATACTCCAGATCCATTGGTCAGATACAATCAAGAACAATCTATTGTGTCGGCTAACAAACCAGCTTTCGAATGAGGAGATTAGGACACACGTTGTGGAAATCATCCGACTCAGTCACAAGGCAAGCCCTAACTAGATATGATAAAGACCGAAGAATATATTGAACCAGGAATAGGAGGCATAGGTTAAAAGAATGAATAATACTTGACAAGAACTGGAAATGAGTGCCTAGAACAGGGTCTGTTCAAGATTTATGGTTGGTAGTTTATACTACACACGGCGTCAATCCTGATGATTTCACTTGGACATCAAGTTTGATTTAACAACTATCAGTCAATTAAATAGCTCAGTTATGATATGTCTTACATAGTTTTCCTTTTCTCGGAAAAAGATTCATTACAATTTCTAATAAATACAATGTGCATTATTAAAAATTTATATAGTTTGTCAAATAACTTACTTCATATTTGATAAATTTAGTTGAATCTTCTAAATCCATTTGTGCTTTATTCACTGGTGCATCACATGTTGCTAATGCTAAACATCTTAATGTATCACGACCAGTTCCATAAGAGGCTACATGTTTCACAATTTCCGATTTCAATGCAGGTGTCATTGGTACTTTCTTATTACCTATACGTACAAAGGTGCATCGATCCAATACACCTTCCGGTGCACCTTTAACAAACATTCTTGGTCCTGTTTCTCCGGAACCAGCAGTATTTGGAACTTTGGATGCAAATGCTGGTTTAGCCTGTACATAAACCGACATTGATTTACGATCACGTGAAAATTCCAGGGTAAAATCTTTGTTCCACATAGCCTGAGATTGTTATAAAAGTAAATAAAAATATATGTTTACATAAGAAATGTAATCAGTAAGTGGGCTTAAGTGACTGAATGCCAAGTACATCGGGAAACATGGAACGTAATTTCATACATTTTGAAATACTGAGAGGCTTCTAACTCTTCAGTTCAGTTTTGGCTATCTCATTCGTGAATAAGTAATTGAAACGGTATAGTTTGTACTGAAACTGGGGAATATGTGCATCCAATTAAGTTTCAACTAAACTTAAATCGATCTTTCAAACACATTCCATAATCACATCTAAAAACGAACAGTTAACGAGACAATGTCACATATATCTCACACTGCTTATAACATTTAGTCAAACGGTATTATTACTGAATTCATGTAATGATCATTTTCAAACTTTTGTTCAATCACAGCTCATTGTATTTAAATTACATTCTGTTTATTCAGAGTCCACCATTTTCGATAATAAATTTATTTCACAGACTCTATTGGTTGTAAAGTCATCTTTTCAGGTGACATCACGACTAAGTTTGAATTAATAGATAGATCACGTCTAGCATGGCGGTCTAGGACGCTAATTTCTTCTTATTATAAACTAACTAGCTAGATGAGAACCTATAATCCTGTTGATATTAACTCAGGCAGTAACACCCAGTACCTTTCCCTTTAAACACCCAATGCACCATTGGCTTTGATAGCGAATCCAGACAGTCATCAGCTTGTACTACGAGTATTCTTATTGTAAACTTTGATAATTTCGCAAATAAGAAAATTACTGATTTAATGATGCGAAGTGTATATGTAGTAATAGTATTGGATGTTGAGTAATCATTTAAACATTCTTTTTTAGTTATTTGATTTCAGTATTGATTAAATATTGATTTATTGATTGTACTTGGGCTCTGAAGTTGCTGTACTTCTCACAACCTAAATATCCATTTAATACTTATCAATTTACACTGATCGGATTGTTGATCATGAGAGAATAACACTGATTTTGGAACTGACTAAACTATTATTCTTGCAAAAAAATATTTGAGTTCGTTTCTGTAATGAATTAAAAAGTTTGTCTGATTTCTATGGAAGTGAAAATTAAATTGTATTATTTTTAGTTATGATAGTGGTGTTGTTTCGTTCTCTAAGCTGGATGTTTTGGTTGTGGAGCTTTCAATAATCTTCTGAACAACATCATCAGCACAAACTTCAGATAGAAGTTATGATAATTTGTAATGGTTGGGGCTATTCCATGGTTGATATTTTGGCTAAATTTTGATTAGTCTGGTTGCATTGATACAAACATTATCATACAAGTTTATTTAGAAGCAATAGGATGTGACTGTCAGTGGAATATCGCCTTTCAGAAAATAGACACATCCACTTAACGAGTCCCAAATGAGACGAAACAAGAGTCCTAGATTCCACCCCTTAACCACCATATTCCATCTATTCTGTATGTATCCTGAGAGAAATCGCCCTTTTACCAGAATTAATTATTATTATCTAACATAATTCGTAATAATTTATCAATTTTTTCTTCGAATACGTTGAATACAAGTCGTAGAAAAGAGATTTTATATACAATGTCAATTGATGATTGTTGCTCGTTTCGTATAAGTTCTATTGGATGAGTAAATGACACTTGGTTTTAATTCTATTTTTTACAAAAGTCTAACAAATTAATTAATTTACATGTGATTATTTTATTCAAATAATCTTATGTGTACTACTTAGTGCACATTGTTTAGTGCTTTGCTTTCATCTACCAGAAAGATTTATTACTATAATGAAGTATTTTTAAAAAGAAGCCCATTAATTATATTCATCTTTAAAACAAAATCATAAAAAATGTGATAATACTTTCAAATAAGTGATATTTCTGGTAGAACTTGTCACTATTACAACACCAACAATTTTAGAGCTGATAACAAAGTGTGAATTTGAATTATGCCTTTTAACATAAGATATATTTCTTTCTGAGATGGTGGAGAAAACTTGTAGCTCAGGTGGATGATTGTGGTGGTGTTTTGTTCTCTGAGCTGGTTGTTTTGGTTGTGGAGCTTTCATCGTTCTTCTGAACAACATCAGCAACCAATCAAGATCGAGGTTAGCAGAACAAGCTACAGGTAAAACGTGGAGAAACTCGAATGCTTCACTTCTATCTGAAGTTTGTGTTGATGATGTTGTTCAGCAGAAGAACAATGAAAGATCCACAACCAAAACAACCAGCTCAGAGAACAAAACACCACCACAATATATTTCTTTCATTAGTATTTTCTTTGATTGTATTTTATTTAAAAGACTGTTTTTACTTTGATAAGAAGTGAAATCACTTTACGATGTAAATATAAATGATTTCGTGCAAGCTATTTATCTTATTTTTTTTAAAGAACAGTGATATGCTCGTCACTTGATATGCTTGAAACTGTTACGAGTTCACCTTAGTCTATAAACGAGAACGAGACAATGAACCAGTGTCCGGATAGGCTACTATGATCTGTTGACTCAAAGGAACTAACGAAGAAGTCTTGGTATAGCGCAGAAAGTGTATTCTACAAACACCCAGCAAATACAATGATCTCAAGCACGTAAATCGCGTTTATTTATACATCAGAGAAACGTCCTTGGTAGAGTCATAAAAATAGGACACTAAAATAACACACTGACCAATCACAGCCAAGGATTTTCGTGGTGGAAAATCTGATCTCAAGGTCAACTCATCGGCCCATCAATAAAATCCAAAATTAAGACATTTATCGAGCGAGTTCTGGGGATCTAAAGAACAGAGACTAACCAAAAGTAACTCCTTGATAAATTTGAATACAGACTATCGTCTTACAAGCTACATATATAACGTGAAACTTGAAAGTTTGGACTTCAGTTTCATGTAAGAACCTTGGAATTACAAGCATAAAGTTGCCACCTGATATCAGTAGCTCTTTCGAAACACAAATAACCAGCTAGAGAGCGTTGTTTGATAGTCTGATCTCAGATAGGTCAGATTTCATAAGTATAGAACAAAACTGCCTTAAGCACAAACTTTAAATCTAACCTCTTACATGTAGACTAAAATCACTACTGTTTTAAAAGTGAGGTAGGTCATCACAAGACACTCTAGCCTACATTTCCCGTAGATTGATTTCATCTTCTAAACCGTCTTCATTACTCTTGCAAATATTCAGACACGAAAACCTTTAGCTTAATTTTTAACGGACAGACACGAATAGTAAGAACAATCACAAGCCCCTGACAGTCTTGGGAAAGTGGTATCGATCAAAAAGGTGCAAAGTATACTCTATAACAAAAGGGAAAGTATCTACTGATCGTTAATGTGCTATTTTGTAAGCATGTATGAATGAAATATCCATTTGTTATCAAAAAAAACATTTCTCTTCATGCAAACATTGACAGATAAATTAAACATAAGCCAGAATATTACCTGAATTTGATGATTGCAAACCATACTTAAATCTTTCTTAGATAATCCAGATTTGGAAGTTTTGTAAACATTCATCTTTTCCACTAAACAAGATAATGCAGTTTCAGTCGCTTCACCAACTTTTTCATAAACATGTTTAGCTTCATTATAATCAATAGCTGAATCATTACACATGGCACAAATATTTGCAATTTCAACTAGTCCTTCATATTCACCAGATTCAATTTTATGACCATCTAAAAATCTGTATGATAGCAAGGAAGATTGATGGTAAGAGGAAAAAATATATAGTTTTTAAGCATATCAATTAAAAACAGTGTATAAATGCTTTAAACGAGTAAAACAAAACTGCTGATATTTTTGATATTTTTTTAGTATTCTAGTTTATTGAATCTGTATATCATATTTCATGATTTCAGTTAGTGTCTTCTTTCCTTTATGCCTCTTTTGCTTTATACTTATTGTTATGTACGTCTCTATGTATGCTTAAAACTATTACGGGTTCACCTTAATCGAATAATGAAAACAAAATAATGAACCAGCGTCCAGGTAGGCTACTGTGATCCATTGACTGAATTGTACCAGCAAGAAGTATTGATATAGCGTAGAAAAAGTATTCTACAAACACCCAGCCAGCACACAATACATCCAAGCACACAAATCGCGTTTATTTATACTCTATAGAGACGTCCTTGAGACAGTCACAAAAATAGCACACTAAAATGACACAGTAACCAGTCACAGCCGAGGATTTTTCTGGTAGGAAATGTGATCGCAAGGTGAACTGATCGGCTAATGAAATAAATCCAAAATAAAGATATTTACCAAGCGAGTTTCGGGGATCTAACATCCCCAACACTTATCACTTGACCTCATTATCATATTCAGTATAATAATATTGAGATTATCACTACAAAGGTTTGTGGTGATTGATGAATTTTATTCAGATCGCCAGGAGATCTAAGTTAGACTAATCTTAAAAACCGATGAGTATTTTAAGACTATGTCGCTCTAGAGACTCCTTACTAGTGCACATACAAGACCTCACTAGAGGTCCGATCAAAGACCTAACGGTTTTACAGCAAGAACTTTTAACTTCATACCACTTGGTTGTAATCCGAAGATTTATGTGTCTAACTTCAAATAATTTACAATATTCCTTAGGCATATCCTAATGTCTTCAATAGGTAACTACTTCATACTCAACATAGTTGAATTCCACAAGTTGCAGCTTGCTTTTATATTGATGACTTTCATCATATAACTAATATTTTGATAGTAAAGTCCAACTGTGATGAGCTGCATGTTTTAATTATATAGCTTTTATTGTTCTTCTGAACAACATGATCAGCACAAACTTCAGACAGAAGTCTAAAGATGAAATATATTCACTTCGCTTGTTTAAAATAAACATTACGACAGACAAATAATATATTTTAATATATATACAAACGTTATTAGAATTTCAGAAAACCGTTAATTTGATTGGTAAAAGTAAATAATCCTGAGTACATATAGCCTGATGTTTATGCAAACTACTTAAAAATCTAGATTAATTTCCTAACAGGATATTGATGAATGGTTAAATAATTGACTTTGTGATTAGTTGTTTACATCAAAATTCTGTTTTATTAATTAATTATTTATTTAGATTAGATTCATTTACATGAGATCATCGTTTTCAAACGATGAGATCATGAATGAATCATTGTTAGACCACCATTAGAAACCTGGAAGCCCTGAAAGACAGCCGTTTCGTCCTGGTATGAGACTCATCAACAATGCGCATTCACCATTTCTGCCACTCGTAGGATTCCAGCCTAGGAACTTCAGTCTTGAGCGCGAACACTTTCAGGTTCCTAATGGTGGCCTAATATTGATCGATTCATGGTTTTAGTAGGACTCAACAATCTCCACCACCCTGTAATAACACTTATTTGCAAGTGTTTGTATCGTCCCTTTGTTACGGAACTACAACTGACCCTGTGCGAATTACTTCGACAATCACATTTAGTCACAAGTTGTAATTAAAGTTAGAATTGTAGTTAACATTTCATCCTAATTGGTAATCGTCCTGGATTCCACTTTTAGTCACCATTCTAACTATAATAAAGACATATTATATTTCGTAATTTATACTTTATGAAAAACAAACTAACTCATTGAGAAATAAAAAAAAACAGAGCTTTCTTCAACAACTTTAACTTACACTTCACCTTCTGGTGCATATTTAGATCCAGTTATTTCAAAATGATATGTTTCTGGTGTTTTATCATCAGCTTTCGAAAAGATGAACATTCTGCATACACTCATTTGATTCGTGGTCAATGTACCTGTTTTATCAGAGCAAATCACACTTGTACACCCCAGCGTTTCCACAGATGGAAGTGAACGAACAATAGCATTTTTAGCCGCCATTCTACGTGTACCCAATGCCAAGCATGTAGTAATGACAGCTGGTAAACCTTCAGGAATAGCAGCAACAGCTAATGCAACAGCAATTTTAAAATAATAAATAGCTCCTTTTATCCAAGAACCACCATGTGCTGGATCATTGAAATGTCCAATATTAATTGCCCATACAGCAATACAAATAATTGAAATAACCTAAATATTTCATAAAAAAGTGATCATTATGAATTAACATGATTAGAAATGAAGAATAAATGATCAATAGCGCATTGAGTTATTTCTTGTCAATAAAATATGTAACTGGATTTTTAAACAAGCACAAATATAATGAGCTGTCAAATAGATGAATATAGTTGTGAAAACTCCCTAAAACATGATTGTATTAAACCTGTCAGCTTTCTTCATCAAGAAGTATGCTTAAGTTTAAACAAAATGCCAGACGACAAAATTACGTGATGTAGATGAAGGCGTAGAGTAAAAGTTCTTGGTCTAAATATCATTCAAGCTGGTACATCTCAACAGGGTCTGTTTATATTTATCAAGCAATCGATATTCCTTGAAAGGTTCTAATCATCCTAGATTGCAATCAGAGGCATTAGCACTAAAATGTTTGAATAGAGATGGACCTTATAGTGATTGGCAGCTGATCAATAAAATAAACCATACTTTCTAAATAGTACTGTTGATGGGAACTCGCATCGTTTGCATTAGCTGTGCAGTGGGCTGAAGGAATGCTACTAGAGTTAGTCGTGGAGATAAGAGAGATATTATGGGGTGTAAGAAGGATTTGATTTCGACCATTTCGGTCTCTCGTGCTGTTACTGGTATGAGGGTGGTTGTCACTTCCCAGCTGCCCACACCGTGGAAGGTTGTTTCTTGAGGGACCTGAAAAGGAAGATAGATTAGTGTTGGTCTTAGAGACCTGGGAGCGTGACCGCAGAGCCCACGGGACAACTACTTGAGGCCGGTCACGCACGGCCTTTTATTAAAGGTTTGTTGAGTATTAGCTCTGCTCTTTAAAGCCTTTAGTGGGCATCCTTACCCAAGGAGACGGAAATCCGTGAGGTAGGGTGAGGTATGACATTTTTAGGGTCGACCTTTTCTAACCCTTTCTTCCTTGTGAGAAGGCACCATCGCTACAGATACTGGTTGTCCGAGGGAAACACCTTACTGCTGTCACACCTCTCTGCAGTCAACAGTACGAAGTCGCCCTCAGATCTTCTAAATTTATCTCACTGAATTATACTTTTCGAATCGTATCTTCGCTCCCTAATCTTCTCCATTACTGCTAATAATTCTACTATCGCTATCACTCTTGGATTTGAACTGACAGTTACGTCTCTGCGCTGACGTGGTATGACAACCTGAACTGATGTACTTATGTACGAATTTCTGCGTTGTATCTGTCTGTCTGACTATTGATGGGATCCTGTTGATCAAGTAGAGATGTGGTCATTAATTCAAAAACATCAAATATTGCACTGTACTGCCTTTGTTAATTGGTTTTTACTGTTTAGTATTAATTAATTATCAATCAACCTTAATGATAACATCTTTAACTGCATACACAGTATCATTATCGTTATTCAAATCTCCGGAAGAGTATCAACACGCAATCATGAGTCGTAGCAACTACTCTAAACAACGACTTTATTTTCTGAATGCTAGTTATGTTCTGCATTAAGAACTCTGCGATTAGCAAATAAATTATACAATTTGTTGGCTGTTGCAAATACTCAATACTGAATCAGATAATGAAGTGAATATAACGTTACATCAGCTAACTTTGAATACTGTGCTTGTCATTTCAAATATGTATAGTTAGAGTTTCTTTTAAGAAATCACAAATTTTTTATGTTGAATTCATTACCAAACCATGAGTGGACACAGTATTATGTTCGTCACTAAGTATGCTTGAAGCTATTACGAGTTCACCTTAGTCGATTAACACGAGCGAGACAATTACCAGCGTCCAGGTAGGCTACCTTGAATCCCAAACTGTAAAACAGAAGTCTTGGAAAGCGTAGAAAGTATATTCTACAAACACACATCCAGCAATCACAATACAATCAAGCATACAACTCTCGTTTATTTATACATCATAGAAACGTCCTTGGTACAGTTACGAACATAGCACACTAAAATACACAGCAGCCAATCACAGCCACGGATTTTCCTGGTGGGAAATGACATCTCAAGGTCAACTGATCAGCCCATGTTCGCAAACATGAAATCCGAAATAAGTCATTTATCAAGCGAGTTTTGGGGATCTTACATCCCCAACACACAGTTAGTTGTATAGGTGAAAATTTAGAACAAGGCAACTATCCTATTCTATCCAGTTGACAATAATTGTTCATCTGATAAGATTCTTATGGGTGAAATCACTCTTCAATTCATCAGAAATCAAAAATTACTTTCTTTATTTAAGGAGAATTGCATGAGAGGACAAAACAACTGTTCAATACCTCTTAGTTTTTTGTATAATTGTTTAACTAAAGTTGGTCAGTCATATTATAACAATCATCATAATAAATCTTTCCATAACTAACTACTTAATTGAATGTTGAATTTGTTTTAGTCAATAATGATTCATCATCATCATCATCATCATCATCATCATCATCATCATCATCATCATCATCATCATCATCATCATCATCATCATCATCATCATCATCATCATCATTGAAACTTATGAAACTTATTTCTTATTTCAATTTAAAAAAAAACAATTATTATTTACAATCAGTCAATCATTTTGCTAACATGTTAACAAATCGTTTAAATTAGAATCAATAAAGTTTATTAAATAAACTATGCAGAAAATAACTTAATTATTGAAAAAAGATAGGTTATTAACTAGTTGTTTTTTTTGTGATCTATTTTTGTGAATATTACCGAATGATGACTGCAACAGTACCATGAATAACAGTTGTTATACTTTTTATTGCAAATGGTAGCTTAATGTTTAAATTATTATTCAGATTTATGTAACAAATTGGAACTGCATGCTACCAACTTCGATTTCAGTAAGCTGTCAGTTTTATTACATAATAAATATGCTTGTTTATTGGATACTATTAAATTAAATTACAATTTTGTTTTCATTGTTTAGATAACGAACTGATCTTACATAGAATGGTAATGAAAATATACAAGCACTTTCAATCTGGTACAGGACTCTCCATCAGTGAGCACCCAGGGCCTCACCACTGAAGATTGCACTCCTAATCTCCAGACTACTGGGCCGACATCCAGTGGTCAAAATGTTCAAACTTAATCAATTCACAATACTGAAGAACTGAAAGTCCTGGGTTCAAATCCCGTTGATGGGTTCAGAGGAGTCCCAAACTAATGCTTCCAAATATTTATACACATCGGCCAATGATGATATAACTATTTCAACTAGAGTTATGTAGATCAATGCTTTTACACATTAAAATCACCAGTCAATCATTATTAGACCACACCATTAGAAACCTGGAAGCATTGAAAGACAGCCGTTTCGTCCTGGTATGAGACTCATCAGTGGCAATGCGTATCTAAGACTCCTGCCACTGGCAAGATTGGAACCCAGGACCTTCAGTCTTGCCGACGAACGCCTAGCCTCTAATTTTGAAAACTTATCAGAAATTTATAATGATTTAAATTAGGTTTTATTTATTATTATTATTATTATTATTATTATTATTATTATTATTCAACGATTAAATGTCGTACAAGAATGTTTTTATGCTTTTAAGGTTCTTATAATGTTATGCATACTGACAACATATATATGTGTGGAATTAATAATAACAGGTACACATACTGACATACATAAAATGTACATGTATGCAACACACCTATACATCCAGCTATATATTGAGATTAACGCATACCTAGTTCTTTGCTTAAATTAATGTATATCTATTTTTTTTAAACAAAAATATATTACCCGAACTTTGCCTACTATTTATTTACATTGTTGAATACAATAGCAATAAATCAAAACCTTTTTAAGAAAAATTCTAATAGGAGAGCGAGAGAGAGTTAGTCAGAGAGAAAAAAGGGGAGATGTATCGTGTCCATCAATCAAATCTAATCACCAATGCATTCAATCAATTAACCAATCAGAATAAAGTGAATTCAACAAAATTGTGATAACCAAATAAAAATCAATATTCTCTAAAAAGTATTCATGCCATCATAAAATTTTATCTAGCATATGTTTATTTTCTTTTATTTGTAAAGTGTGTGATATGATGATTATGACTTAAATGTGTTCTTAATTATTTTGGTTTTTGGATTCCGTGACATAAATAACCAGCTTCATTTATGCATACATGTAAATCTGGATGTCAAAGTTTATTGATACAGATATAAAAGTAGTTGAACAGTAGATATGGAAACATTTCCACAGTTGAACAAAGAAATTACAAATTATTTATAGTGTATACAGTCGATCAAACTTAAGTACTAAACAGGTATGAATTCTAACTAACTTGTAAACACAAACTCGTCACATAATCAGTCACCTCAGAAGTATCAAAACAACGTTCAACAATTCCTTTCAAAAATATGAATAGAGTTATTAAAAAGTGAAATATGCTTTTCACCACAAGCTAGATAACTTGTTTGTGAAAACAATTTGAGCTGTGGTACATGTTTTCTTTTCGATAGAAGACAATATTGTATAATACATGATTAAGATTAAGACTGTGAAGAAGAAAATGAAGGTATCAACTAATTTGTAGACAGATTTCTAGTTAAAAATGGTATGCAACTAAAGCTGGCGCTAGATATAACGTTATCGGTCGCCTGTGCAACTCGACATCATAGTGACTTGAGCTTGATGTTAGTCGGTTGGAGTTCGGTGGTATACTAGATGTAACTCAATGCTCAAAGAGATTAGCTACTGACTGAAGAACCTAGCCTTGTCTATGCTACTAAGCATAAGTCGAATAGGAGTACACAGTGTAACACAAAACTTAGATCAAGGGTTTCTTGCTAATCGCCTCAATCACCTGTTGACTTAAAATAATTATCATAATATCAAGACTAATAACATTAATAAATATGTAAAATAGAACTCCGCCTTTTTAAAGAGAATATTTAAATCTGAATTGACTTACTTTTGATAACTGTTGTCCAAATTCATCTAATTTCTGTTGTAATGGTGTTTTATCTGGTTCGGTATCCATCATTTGATTACGAATTTTACCAATTTCAGTCATAAGACCAGTTGAAACAACTATACCCCTAGCTTTACCAGCTGCAATATTAGTACCACTAAATAAAATATTCTTTTTATCTTGATTTACAGCTCTTGGATCTGGTACAGCATCAGTGAATTTAATGACAGAGACAGATTCACCAGTTAAAATTGATTGATCCACACGTAAAGTTGTACTCATAATTTTAATTATTCTCATATCAGCCGGGACTTTATCACCAACTAAATATAGAGATAAAAAAATAAAGAAAAACATGTTAAAATCGATGTACAGATCAACTTCAAATTATTCCTTAGTACTACTGTGGTGCGTGCTACTTATAAGTAGTATATGACGTGAATAAAAACGTAATGTCTGGCAGCAGAAGATGGGGGAAGATCAAGAAAGGAAGAGTGGGAACACAATGGAATTTGTATGAAACGCATGAATAGTGACAATGGATTGATGTTTTGCAACAGGAACAGTCCAGTTCGATATGATGGATTGATATTTTGCAAATTAACGATTTACGATATGGTTTTCCTATTTTACTAATTACCAATAAACGCGATTCAGTTGCCCTCACCTGTGTTCTCCTTCACTACACTAATACTTATTGGATGTTAGTTATCATATATTTAGTTCAATTTTTTCATACATCTAATAAGATGAGAAATGCGTGAAGATCATACCCTCTGAAGATGGCTTACAATATCGATTGTCTTTAGGTACGTAATCATAGACAATGCGAAGTACTAGATATCCACTTTATCTTAATAAGGAAAATCTCAATAGTGTATACACTTATGATACCTTAAAGCATTATACTAAAAATATTCAGAGTGGAGACAAGCACTCAAACTAATAGCTAATGGTCAACATTTACAATTATAATTTCATTTCTTAAATTTAAAACTAGCTGAATGAATACATTTTATAACTAGAGACTATGTGATGTGAATAGATTTATATTGATGGACAAATGGTAATTTGAATCATACTTCTAATTTAGTTTCAGTATGCTTCGCAGATCAATTTTATTGGATAACAAAAACTTCCGTATATTTTTAGCTTGGTTGACCAGAATACATACACAGCTTCTGCAATTCCTTGTAATTTTTGATTAGAGCGCTGTTTGTGTTGAGGATGTTAGATCCTCAGAATTCGCTTAATAAATGCCTTATTTCGGATTTCATGTTTGCGAGCATGGGCTGATCAGCTGACCTTGAGATTTCACTTCCTACCAGGAAAATCCGTGGCTGTGATTGGCTGCTGTGTATTTTAGTGTGCTATTTTCTTAACTGTCCCAAGGATGTTTCTATGATGTATAAATAAACGAGAGTTGTATGCTTGATTGTATTGTGATTGCTGGATGTTGTAGAATATACTTTCTACGCTTTCCAAGACTTCTGTTTTACAGTTTGGGATTCAAGGTAGCCTACCTGGACGCTGGTAATTGTCTCGTTCGCGTTGATCGACTAAGGTGAACTCGTAATAGCTTCAAGCGTACCTAGTGACGAACATAACAGTTTGACTGGAGATAATTTACGGCATTTTTAAGTTCTTCAGAATTTCAAAGATATGCACTGACATCTAATGTACAGTTTGATGTGAGCATTTTCAATGTAATCAGCTAAATCTTAGCACTAGACAAAATAACATTGGTCATTCACTGGTTACTTATTCATGACATTTACTGTTACTAAACTATTCTGCTAAAATCGATATCTGAGATAAAGTATATCTGATTAAGACACAAATCAAGGTCAACTAGACTTTTTAAATACACCTTATTGATCAGATAGCTGATTAGAATAAAACATGAAACAAAAGAGCTTTTTTTTCAATTAAAACACTTTTAACAAAACAAGTGAGGTGAAGCGTTATATGTTCAATTAAACAATTGGTTAAAATACATTTTGTCTATATTTCAAACAATCTTACACCTTATCAGATTACTGTATAACCTAGACGTTATATATAAGAAAACAAGGAAAAATAACATTTCTGTGTATGAATCACTTGGATTATTATAAAACTTACTAGTTAGTAGTCGGATAGAAATTCAACATCATCATCATCATCATCATCATGGACTTACAACATATTTACATTTTCAACTCTAATGTATAATTAATTGAAAACATCCCATGATACAATGAAAAAACATATGTTAGCACTTCAGAATTACATTACATTACAATTTTTTCGGTAATTTATTTTTCAGACATTAAAAATAAAAATTTCAAGTAATGAGTTTTAGTGAAATACTTTTAAGTTAATTAACTAATTAATTAGTATTTAGAAGTGTGAAATAATCGGAATCAGTCAACAACAACAAAAAACAATATTTCGAATAGTTATTTTGAAACGTTCAAACAGTATGTATAAATAAAAGTGAATTTTGAATCTCGTAATATTATTGGTAATTCATTTCTGTAAGTAACCGCGCATTTCACGCTATTCGCAATCATTGATTGAGGGTGCAATGAAACTCTGGTTTTTTCATTAGTTACACATTTTTCAAACCATGAATCGATCAATGTTAGACCACCATTAGAAACCTGGAAGAACTGAAAGACGGCCGTTTCATCCTGGTATGGGACTCATCAGTGGCAATGCTCATCCACGACTCCTGCACCCCGCAGAATTCGAATCCAGGACCTTTGGTTCTTGTGCCCGAATGCCTAACCACTGGACCCCTAAAGGGGTTAATATCTAACTTGATCAATTCACGGAGGTACCTCATCACAATTGTTAGCGGTTCGGTTAATCAATGATGGAGTTATGTGACATGAATTTGTTTTCCTTGTGTTGTTTTTTTGTTTTAATTGGGTCTGGTCATTGAATCATTGAACCCATCGACTTTATAATAGTTAGAAATGATCAAACATTTATGCTTTATAAATTTTTCAAATACAATTTAAGTAATTATTCAAATGAACTTAAATCACAATTTATTAGAACAACACATGTAAGTGAACAATATTGTTTTCAATTAGATTGTCATTAGGCTTTACTCTAATATACATGGATGTTGATATGAAGATGTTAAACTAATCGAGGCAATTTATGAGTTAAAAATCACAATTACTGATGTCTGTACCAATCAAGTTACACTTGACGGTGAAGCTTGGTAAGATGTAAAATCCTTCACATATCTGAGTAGCAGCATTGATCAGCAAGATAGATCTGATGCAGATGTAGATGTACGAACTGGTAAAGCAAGGGTAGCATTTCCTACAGTTGGAGAACATTTGGAACTCAAAACAACTATCAACCAACAACAAAATTAGAATTTTTAATACCAATGTCAAAAAGGTTGTAAAGAGCAGAAACTTGGAGAACCACGAAAACCATCATCCATAAGATACAGGTATTTATTTACAGTAGTTTAAACAATATACTCAGGATCCGTTGGCCAGACACCATCAGCAACAACCTACTGTGAGAGAACAGACGAGATTCCAGTGGAAGCAGTGGACGTGAATAGACCACACACTGAGGAAAGCAGCCAACTACATCGCAAATGCAAGCCTTAACTTAGAATCCCTAAGGCTAAAACAAAAGAGGAGAACCAAAGAACACGTGACGCCGAGAATCGGAAACAGATGTGAAGATAATGAACAAAAGTTGGATAGAACTAGAAAAGAAGGCTCAGGGCTTATTAGGTTGGAGAATGCTCGTCGGCGGCCTTTTCTCCATTAGGGTAAAAGGCATAAGAAAACAGGTAATCCCAATAATTCAAGGGGATTTCTCATAAGTGTTTCATATAATTATCTAAAACATCACACATAGAACAAGTACACTTAAAGATTATCACCCACCTGATACTTCAACAATATCACCAGGTACCAATTCTCGAGCTTTAATTCGTTGAATACCATAATGACTTTTTCGAAATACTTTAGCTATCTCCGGTTCATATTCTTTCAATGCTTCAATAGCCGACTCAGCATTACGTTCCTAATATGATTATTTTTTTAAAAATAACAAATTTAATAACAACTGCTCTTGTTATAATAATGAAATTACATTTTAAATTTTATAGTGACAATATATATATATCATATTTATTAAAGGTACTCCGGAAACCACAAAGCTATGCTTGCTTGAATCACTGATGTTGATTTAGAATCTTTGCAAGCTGTTAATGTTGTATAACCAAGAGGTTGATTTACAAAATATCCAACCCCTGATGACTTGCACCTTCATTGGAAGAATCTTACCATGAGATTTGAAGATACTGGAGTCAACTTTGTAAGTCCTGTAAATAATGCGCTCCAAGGAATGTACGGAATATGAAGAAATGGTTGTTTAGTCTCCCCTTATTTATAATATTTCACTAAACTGTGCTGGTATTCTGAGGAGAAATGTCCTCAATTAAATAAGTGCATTAATTATTGAAGCAGTTTGAAAAGTAAATTGAACGAAAGATTTGAGTATGTCCATTCGGATTCTTTCATGCAGTCATGAATATTGTACAACATACACAAGAGTATGACTAATCAAGTTTAATAGTTTAATCATTTGAATAATCACACAGATTTTCCAGCCTTAATTACATATGAAAGTAAAAAATTGTAGTGTTAAAATTATGATCAGCTGTTTGATGTCATTCAGTTGATATTCAGCTTTAAATTTGTATTCAAAGGAAATGAATACAGTCTTTTAACTACTACTACTACTACTACTACTACTACTGTGGTGCTCGCTACTTATAAGTAGTTTATGACGCGAGTGAAAACGTAATGTCTGGCAGCAGAAGATGGGGGAAGATCAAGAAAGGAAGAGTTAGAACACAATGTAATTTGTATGAAACGCATGAACAGTGAAATGTCAGACAATGGATTGATGATGGATTGAAGATTTGCAAATTACTACTACTACCACTATGAACGTTTAAATCCCATAAGTAATACTATTCTTATCATTATTGTTACTCCCTTTTAACAACACAGTATAAAATGATGTATTCGCTTACTTGCCAGACCCCGATTACAGCATTAGCAACTAATATAAGCAGGATAACAAGTGGTTCCACAAATGCACTGATACTTTCTTCATTCTCTTCGAATAGAGCAAGTACCTTCAAAGGAAATAATAGTTACATATTAAGTAGAAATGATAAAGGAGAAATTTATTCTTAACATATAATTAACCTGTTTGTAAATATTTAGATTTCAATGTTAAGAATTTCATCAATAAATAATGTAATCTGTTAAAGATTATATAATCTTCCTCCCTGACAGTATTAAAATCCAGTATTTTACCAAATATATTTTCAGAGAAATCAAACGATTGTGTGACATGTGAATTTTACAGTTCTCGACAATTCCATTAGTATCTTTGAATGAATTCTCCAACTTCCATTATAAAACATTATAATTTTCAACAGTCATACAGTAAGCATTATCTCAGTGGTCATAGATTCTCTCATGTTGAGAATAGTTTCATTTTATTACTAGAATTTGTGAAAAACACTAGTTATTAAATTATAATATCCTCTGACTTTTCTCTTTTGTATTTGTCCACAAATGCAGGTTATTGGATTATAACCTTACATTCACTGTACTTCTATCTCTCTGAATAATTGAAAATATTATTTTTAAAAACATTACGCATAAATGATGACAATCAAGTTACTGTATTTTTGAAAGATGTACAATTTGCCAATTAGAGCTAATCGCCATGTGTCATTTAGTTTAAGACAACTCGAAATCCAACTTAAATAAATCAATACGTGTAAAGATGAAGTTATCCAAGTTAAATTCAGTGACAGTGTTGCTGTATGAAATAAGGGAAAGTGAAATATGTAAGTAGCACTTATTTCCTAACAAATATTTAATGTAACTCTAGGAAACTTTGTCATCAAAGCTTGCAGTTTTATTGATATACCTCTTAAGAAGTTAAATTTCATGAGACCTCAACTTGTAATTGCAAATTACAAAGTTATAGAACATCCTCAAGGTATTGCAGCTTTTATCACTAGGACTTATTGTTAAGACAGAACTGATATTTTCTCACGTCTAATAAATAGTTTGAAATTCAACGTAGATAATATGAGCTTAATTCCACTAAGAGGATAATTTTCAATTAGAGTTATGGAGACGAGTGCTTTCTACACAGCTTTGAATTCATCAATCTATCAATGTTAGACCACCATTAGAAACCTGGAAGCACTGAAACACGACCGTTTCGTCCTGGCATGGGACTCATCAGTGGCAGTGAGCGTCCACGACTCCTGCGCCTCGTAGGATTTGAACCCGGGACCTTCGGTATTGTGCGCGAACTCCAAACCTCTGGACCACTGGGCCGGTATCTAATGGTGTTAATGTCCAACTCTCGTTGATCTAGGGATTTCGCGCGACCTCACTCATTTATCTTTGGTGGTCACTGCCTACACCCGACAGGGTTGAACTCCATTGGTCACGTCTTGTAGTACATACTATCTGGAATCTCATGTTTATGAACAGTAAAATTCGCTCACTGAATTCGATAGGCTATTAACTAATCAAATTGTAAGCGACTGACTTCAACTGCGGTCCTAGGTAGTAAAAGTTCTAACATTAGCGAGAAACTGTACACCTTATCATAAAACATCCATTTGCAAAACAAGCATATTCTTAGTTGTCTTCTTCTACACGTCTTTTATTCCTCAAAACACCCAGATCACACCATAAATCCTTATCCGACACTTTACTCTACAGCTGTAACTTACGAGCGATACTTTGCTGCATATCCATTGCATAGACAAACAGACAGACAGACAAATACAACGCAGAACTTCGTACATAAGTACATCAGTTCAGGTTGCCATACCATATCAGCACAGAGACGTAATTGTCAGTTAAAATCCAACAGTGATAGCGATATTAAAAGTATTAGCAGCAATGAAGAAGATTAGGAAGCGAGGACATCCATTGCATACTATCTTTTAGCTCTACTGTAAGTAGTGAACATTGCACATTAACTAAGATCAGTCTGGTCATGATAATCTTCTATGATTACATTAACATTTAACAAGTCAAATAAATTCCAATCATGTTATGCCAACTAAAACTTTTAATAAAAAATAATAATAATAATGATAATTTAGTATAAATCATCTATTCTATGAAGTTTTTTATTTCTTTTATGGTTAATATTCTTTAGGTGTAAACTTGACGTCTAGGTTAACATTTATCTTTATAGATTCATAGATGATGAAATTAAGGTCATCTATGTGACCTCTTTAATCTGTTACCTAATTTTTTTTTTCATGTGCATTACTAAATTTATAATCGATTTCTTTTTTTCTTATCATCCAATTAGTCAGTCAATCAATTTACCGAAATCATCTCTGTTCAAAAAATCCTAACCTCCTTTCGATATCTTTTTTTTTATGGGGCTTACAGATTTTTATATACTTACTATGTTAAACAGTGAATATTATTATTAATTGATAGTTTAATTCAATCACACAACATTCCGCTTTTTGGTTATGAAAAACATTTATGATTGTGCAGCTCAAGGACAAGAGGTTATTAAGAGAAAAAAAAACTGATGTAACAATCAAGTATAAAGCCAAAGTAGAAATGTTCTATCGAGATTAGTTCGTGGCCATGAACTAGCCAACTGGATTGCATGGAGTTTTTTTTTCCCATTGAAAAGTTGGAGTAGAAATCGATTGACATTTAAAATAATAGATACAAGGTGATTAAAAATCAATATGATCCAAGGACATATTGATGATAATTATAGTACTAGAAACCTAAATTAAATCCACCTTGTAAAAAATGACTCTATCTAGCTACTTTTGAGTAAATCACCAGGAATTTTACAAACTGAATGAATTAATGTGACTCTGACAGTTAGAATGCTACATCCGATGGTTCGTTTCATACTCAGGAACTTACTCAATTCACTGATGATCAGTTAAAGTTGGGAAAATACTGACATAATTTTTCACTGTCAACTAATTCCATACATATTATTGATCTAAAAGAAAATTTTTGGTTCAGTAATTTTAATGGTGGAGAAAATTTGTAGCTTAGGTGGGGATGATTGTGGTGGTGTTTCGTTCTCTGAAATGAATGTCTTGGTTGTGAAGCTTTCATTGTTCTTCTACTGAACAAAATCATCAGCAAAAACTTCAGATAGAAGTGAAGTATTCGAATTTCTCCACACTTTCTACCCATAGCCTGTTCTGTTAACCTGTATCTTGATTGGGGATAAAATCAAAACAAAGGTGTAAACAACGACAGACTTATGGTCAGCAGCAACCAGTCAAGATCGAGGTTAACAGAACAGGCAACGGGTCGAACGTGTGGAGAAATTCGAATCCTTCACTTCTCTATCTGAAGTTTGTTCTGATGGTGATGTTGTTCAGTAGAAGAACAATGAAAGCATCATCACCAGGACATCCAGCTCAGAGAACGAAACACCACTACAGTGATTTTAATTTTTAACCAACTAAACTTCATTGAATTTATTCTTAATCATGATTACCATTTGTTCAATAACGTGACCATTGCTTCCTAGCGTTTTAGCCTTGCTTTGTAACAATCAGTACTTACTTACTTACGCCTGTTATCCCCAATGTAGCATAGACCGCCCACCAGTTTTCTCCAAACAACTCTGTCCTGCGCTTCCCTCTCCAGTTCTGTCTAATTTTTATTCATTCGTTTCACATCTTTCTCTATTTCTCGGCGTAATATTTTCCTTGGCCTTCCTCTTTTCCTTTTGCCTTGAGGGTTCCATGTGAGAACCTGACTTGTGATGCAGTTAGGTGCTTTTCGTAGTGTGTATCCTAACCACTTCCACAGCTTCTTCCTGATTTCCTCCTCCACTGCAATCTGGTTTGTTTTCTCCCACAGTAGATTGTTGCTAATGGTGTCTGGCCAACCAATCCGAAGTATTTTGCGTAGACAACTGTTATTAAACACTTGTATCTTCTGGATGATGGCTTTGGTAGTTCTCCAAGTTTCCGCTCCATACAGTAGAACTGTCTTGACATTATTCCTGATTTTGAATTTGGTTGAAAGTTGTTTGGAGTCTCAGATATTTTTCAGTTGTAGAAACGCAGCCCTTGTTTTGCCAATCCGCACCCTCACATCTGCATCAGATCCACCTTGATTGTCGATGATGCTGCCCAGATATGTAAAGGTGTTAACGTCCTCCAAGGCATCAGTAGGATAGAATAATTTTTTTTATGTACAATCTAATCTATTTACAATTTATATTTGATCCCTTCAACTTATTTACATCTTTGCTTTACTGCAATCCCTTCTAACTGGATTCATTTACGTAAGTATTTTTAACTAATTTCATAATAAATGGATAAGAATGAATTTTCACATTCAGGGAGCAAGAATGAGAAAGTATCTAACTCTAACACATCAAAAATTAGAAAGCAAGAAAGAATGACTTACAAATGAGATAATTGCAGCCAGTAGTAAAATTTTGACCAGTAAATCATCAAACTGTTCAAGGACAAGTTGCCAAATTGCTTTAGCTATATATAATGAGAGTAATGGAGACACACACACATACGAAGAAAAATAGAATTATACAGAACAATGAATAACTCTTTCAATTAAAAATATATATATTTCACAACTTAATTCAAAGTAACTTTGACAAAAAACAATCTAATGTGTACAGTTAAAACTATCAGTTATGCACCCATGTACCTGTAGTTACAGTTTAGAATATTTCAAGTTGACTATTTCGAATGCCTCTTTGTAGTAATTAGTAGAAGCTTTTTTCTGAATAGCTTTAAACATGGACCAATTATAATAAACACTAGGATGTTATACTTACTTTACTTACTTACTCCTGTTACCCCCAATGGAGTAAAGGCTGTCGACCAGTATTCTTCAGCCTACTTAGTCCTGGGCCTTCCTTCCCGGTTCCGTCTAATTTCTGTTCATTCTTCTGATGTCTATCTTCATTTCTCTGGACGTTATATCTCTAAGTTTACTGATCATACTGTACTTCTCTGAATTATGGGCTTCGATCAAGTTTGATCCTCTTAAGCCGAATTTAGTTACCCATGAAATTCACTACTGTGTTTATTAGTAGTAGTACTTTACTACTGTAAAATCCTTGTTTACCGGTACATATAGCCGTAAATAATAACTCACAATGATTTAACTCAATCCAATTCATGTGATTAGGTATAATTAGTTAAAAAAACTACCCTCACTTCATTTTTCTCTCGAATATAACAAAGAATAAACTACATGTTGATAAACAAATTCAAGTACAATTATTGTTGTTTTAGTGAATATAAATCCATTTTCTAACAAAATGCACATCTAACTGGTTCATTAGTGTAAGATCGAAAGAACAAAGATTGATGTATTCATGTATATTCATGTGTTACCTAAATGTAATGCCCTATAAACTATCGAATTCAACTATGGAACTAAGTGATTTTTTTTAAAAAACGATATCAAATCTAATCAGTTAGAGAGATTTCATAGGTTAATATAGCCAATTTTAATGGGACAGAAAACGTTTACTAACCTTCTTCAGCAGGAAGTTCTAAAAAAACATTTAAAAAAAGATGAAATACAAAATTATTATTAATAAGACAATAATGAAATATGTTGAAATAATTAATGAATATTGAAGCAATTCAGACATAATTTCATCGAAACATTATTCAAATTCAATGCAACGAACTCAGTTTTCCCTAAAGAGAACGACTGATAGATCTACTTCTCTGTTTGTTCACCTCATGTCATTTACGTAAACTGTCACCAGTAGAAAATGTTACTGATAATGATTTTCGAATTATTTTTTAAAGAATTCGAATAAATTACGCAACAAAGGATGCATACAGATTTTTTCATAGAAAACAGTTATAATATAAATGGATTGATGACAGGAGATTGATTAGCAGAACTCTTGAAGTCACTTAATTTTCTAGCATGATATTATCTGCTTTCATTTGAGAAGCTCTGTGTGGGTATTTTTTTAAATATCAGAATTTTACACTTATCAACTTGACTATTACTCTATTTAGTTAGTTAGCTTCATTTACTGACTCTGTACAAATAAATTTTGTCTTTTCTTGAAATAATAGTTACTAATAGAGCATATAATTATCAATTCAGTTATGTCTTTCAGTCAGTCAGTCAGTCAACAACAACGTAGAACTCCGTACGTAAGTACATCAATTCAAGTTGCCATACTACATGAGTACAGAGATATAATTGTCAATTCAAATCCAATAGTAGTAGAGGTAGTAAAAGTATCAGAAGTAATCGGAGAGATTAGGGTTCGAAGATGTTGGTCAAGAAGTATAATTCAGTGAGGTAAATTTAGAAAGAGAAAGAGAGAGAGGTGATGATGAATTCAGAAGGTTAGAATTTCATAGAACACAAAAAGTAAATGCACCTGAGCCATTGCAAACGGTTCTGAGCTGTCATCCAAGGTCTCTAAACATCGATTACTATCATCTCGTGGACCTCAACCAGGTAGCCTACATCTACCAACATGACTCAGTTCACTTGTCAGTGACTTCATGCATTTCTGCCATGTTTAGGTCTGGCCGCCCTATATCGCGAAACACAGCTCGACGAGGCAGTCGGTGGTTAGGCATACACAACACATGTTCCAACCACCTCAACTGATGAAGTTTCATTACTTCATCTACTGACCTGCAATCCTTACCTAGCTACCCGTTTCCTAACAACAAGTTATGTCTTTAGTGTATGAGTAAAACTGGTATCTAGTTAACATAAATCTAACAACTTTCATAAGACATTGATAATTCAAGCACGTTTTACTTAGAATTATCATCATAGTTAGTACAAAAATAGGTCTTTTCCATCATCAGCCTTAACAAAATGTACAACACCGTAAAACAAACAAACAATCAAACAACTCTTCAAATCTTTCGTTATAATTTCGCACTGAATATCATACATACAAATGTTTCATTTTAACTCAATGAAATAATATCGAAAATATTCTGATATATTCGAAAATTATACAATGTATTTAATCGTAAAATTAAGATTTGAACTTTATTGCGTTCAAAAGAAAAGCACAACACATTTACACCTTGGAAAATTGATCATTTAATGCACTAAGCAAAAAGTATTATTGGAGAAGAATTGTCTCATCGGAATGATCTATTTAAGTGATAGTTACACTTTAAAGTATCTTCAGTTCTAAACTTAAAATAACTATATATGTATATCAACACAAAATAAATATCATATAAATAGATTAAAACTATTCTTCAGAAACTAAGATTCACTTGTTCAATATTCAATATCATACAATGTCACCACATGTTGAACTCGAATGACTAAATCAATTCAAAATGTATACATTTGAATAATTTCAATGATCATTCATTGACCGAAAGGGTGGTACACTTACCATTTGGACCAAATTTAGCAGTTTGTTTTTTCACCTGATCATCACTTAGACCAGTTTCTGGATCTGCATCGAAATAATGCAGTACTTCATCAACTGTCTTAGAAAATGCTGTTTCCATTGTTCAATTTGTTTACAATAATTTTAGGAATATGTAGTATACAAGAGCAGCACTATTGATACGGTGGAATAAATGAGTTTTACTTTTAAAGTAAATTATGAATTCACCTTTAAACAATTTGATGAAATTCGTTAATCATTAACAAACAATTAATCGGTAGTAATAATGTAAACGTTTTTCTTTGTGTATTTTTGTTCCAATCTAACTGTTGACGACACTGACAAGGTTGATGATGATAATGATGATAAAAATGCAAAGAAAAAGAAATAGAGAACAACACTGAAGAGAAGAACAATTTCCTTTTGTTCTTGTTTGTTTTAGATAATGTCACCAACGTTTATAAAACACATACACATTGGTACAACACATGCACACATGTATGCTGGCTGAATTGCCCAATCGACTAGAAGATGTGCTGTTTTTAACCAGTGAAATCAGTGTTCATTAAGGAGAGGGGAAGTTAACAATCATTACTTTTTTGCCTGTCTGTATTATAAACCAATCTATGCTGTTGCACAAAATTCTACTACTACTACTACTACTGTATAAATGACACAAACTGGATACATTTATTCCAGCTTCAATCAATACAGAATAAGAATTTAAACTAATTATTGGATTTCACACTACCTCTTCCTTTAGTGGGTGTAGCCGAATACACAGTGTTGCCAATGCATGGGACGACTTGATGTGTGTCATATATATACAACATATATATGATAATGCTGTACTGTATGTTGGGCAATATTTAGGTATTCTATTAAAAAACATTCAACTATTTAGTGCATACATAAATAGATTAATAATAAATGTACATACTTTTACAGAATAGAGCAAGATAGTAAGAGTACCTAAGAAGTTGTACATAATTTATGAGCTTGTGAACAAGAAAAATTTGAAGTGTAATTTTAGTAAACCATTAAAAATGACAACAACTTCCATTTTTCACAAAATTCTTTGATGATCATAAACTGACCTATATATGTTGATATATATATATATATATATATATATATATATATATATATATATATGAACGAATAAGGCCATATGAACCAGGTTCAGTAAGTGACATAACATTCTTGTTAAAAATGTTTGAATTTTTTTTTTCACAAAGAATCAAGAAAAACATCCAATTTATCAAATAATTTTAGCTTTTGAAAGCTGTAACAAATAAACGATATGATGCTGATCGATTCATGTGTGCCATTATACTGTATATATATGACATGCATACATTGGTTGTACACAATATACTTGAGGTCATTTAAGGAAGAATTGCCAACTTCCAACATAGCATGTGAATAATTTCTAAGAGTTTAAATAATAGGTTTATACATCAGTGATTAGCCTAAAAGGGTTAAATTTTTTTTATTTATAGTTAAATAAATTACACATTTTTGAAACCATGAATTGATCGTTGTTAGACCACCATTAGAAACCTGGAAGCACTGAAACACGGCCGTTTCGTCCTGGTATGAAACTCACCAGTGGCAGTGAGCATCCACGACTCCTTCACCCCACAGAATTCGGACCTAAGACCTTCGGTACTGTGCGCGAACGCCTAACCATCGGACCACTGGGGCTGGGTCCTAACGGTGTTAATGTCTAACTTCGATCAATTCACGGAGTTGTGCAACCTCATACACAGTCTTCGGTAGTTACTGTCTACACCCGAACAGGTTGAACTTCATTGGTCTCACGTCTTCCTACTAGAACTCGGAAAAGATTCCTCACGAAGCTAGTCATTAGTGAGCACAGGCAATTTGTATTACGGGGTTGTGAAGATTGTTAAGTTACACATTTTTGAAACCATGAATTGATCGTTGTTAGACCACCATTAGAAACCTGGAAGCACTGAAAGACGGCCGTTTCTTCCTGGTATGGGATTTCTCTGCTAAGTTCCAGAAGAAAAAATTAGTCACACTGGTTAACAGTTATGTGATAACTATAGTCCTAAAATGGTAGTTAATAGGATGTATATAGATATTGGTAATAGCTAATCTGTACTATTCCCATTTATGGGTTCAAATCTCAATCTGTTGTTACGACTTGTCGTCATGCATTTTTGAACATTCAACCTCATATTGTTAAAATGCTGTAAACTTCTGACAATGAAGTTTCTGAAATTTATTTGCACATGGCAGACTTTACTACTGCTGATTTTGTTCCTTTATGTGTCATTCCTGTCAATATAATGATTAAAATAATGTTTTCACCCTTTACAAAATAAATATATATTCATTTTGTAAAAGTTTACAGTAATTACTGCTTACATACATGTTTAGAGTAATAATTATGTTTAGTACAATAGTACAAATATTGTGGTCTGGTGCTGATTGTGTAGAGTGATAGATCAGCAGTAGCTAGCACTAAACTATCAGTCATTCTATTGAAATTCTAAACTACGCTACAACCACGTCTGTATCGATTAATGAATAGTTATGTATTTGACTGAATGTAGAGAGTATCATCAATGATTATGATTAATTTACATATATTGAATAGGATAACTCCTCTAATGTTGCCAGAGAATATACTTAATAACTTACAATACGCCACCGATCAGCAATCTCCAACAATCTCTGTCCTGGGCTAACTCTCCCAGTTGTTACTAGGTGCTATTCACTCCAAATGTTCCCAGTTACTGGCACAATGTGTTCTTTGGTCTGCCCCTTTTCCTTTAGCCTTCAGAATTCCGAGTTAAGGCTTGCCTCATGATGCAGCTTGGAGATTTCCGCAATGTTTGTTCTATCCATTTCCAGCTTTTTTTCGTAATTTCCTCCTCAGCCAGTAGCTGGTTTATTCTTTGCCACAGTAGTTTGCTCCAAACTGTACCTGTTCAACGAATCCTCAGTATCTTGCGTAGACAAGTGTTTGTAAATACCTGCATACTTTGGACGACGGTTATTGTAATTCGCCCACTTTCGGCTCCACACAGTAGAACTGTCTTGACATTTATATTGAAAATTCTGACTTTGGAGTTGACTGATAGTTGTTTTGAGTTCTAGATGTTCTTCAACTGTAGAAATACAATCCTTACTTTGCTAAACTATGTCTTTATATCCAAAACTTCATCTTCAAGTGCGATTTGATTCTTCACTATTAATTCCCGTGTACCATGCTTTCTGGAGAGTTTCTTCATTGTATTATTTGGTTATCTCATGCTTCCTTCCCTTGCCCCTTTTTCCACTGTCATGGTTAAGTCTTCCACATATTTTCACTTATCAGCTCTGATGCTCCTATTCATTTGCTTGTTTGCTTCTGTGTGTTCTGATGGTACCCTGGCTTACTCTGTTCTCGTTCAGCTGTCGATGTTTTCTGCCTTCCTTTTCTTCCTTTCTTGAATCTAGGCCATTGTATGGACAGAGATTCATTCTCTTTGATTCTAGTTGTTTTGGCCTGAAACCTAATGACACAGTGAAGTTATTACTTCCTTGATGCCCCTCCAGTTGTTCCCGATGCTAATTCCTTCTTCTTTGAGTAGATCATACAAGGCTTGGGACTTATTGCTATCTTTAATCCATTATATTATTAAGGAGATAATTGTTTTTTCATCGAAGTCACGAATCAATCATTTTTAGACCACCACAATAAACCTGGAAGCGTTGAACGGCCGTTTTGTCCGACCACAGAACAATTCAAGAGTGCGCGTCCGCGATAACCTCTCGTGGTAACCGAACCAAGGACCTTCGGTCTCGCACGTGAACGCTTAACCTCTAGACCACTGACCTGGCATCCAACGGTGTCCTACTTCGATCAACCTTAGATATCGCACAACCTTACCAATCGTCTTTCGTAGTTAACGCATACGTTCGGAAGGGTTGGACTCCACTGGTGACGGCAGTCCAATGCTTCCAGGTTTCTAATGGTGGTCTAACAATGACTGATTCATAATATCTTTAATTCGTTGGGTTTGTGAGTATCTGGAAGAAGGGTCTATCGAAAATTATAATGCTGCTTGTCCAGTTTCATAGTTCTTCTTTAACTTCAGTTTCCTCTTGGCCACCATTAAGTGCTGATTTGAAGTAGTATCAGCTCCTCTCTTTACTCTTTCATTTATTTTATTGATGCAGATGTGATAGATTAGGTTCTGTGTGGTTTGATCCAGTGAAACCTAAGTCACTTTGCTTACTTGTTTATGTGTGAGTATGATGCCTCCTATTACAGTTTTGTTGAAAACACAGTTTTCGTTTCTTTCTCTCAGTACATATACTACTTATAAGTAGCTCACACCACACTACTACTACTGCTGCTGCTGCTGCTGCTGCTACTACTACTACTACTACTACTACTACTACTACTACTACTACTACTACTACTACTACTACTACTACTACTACTACTACTACTACTACTACTACTACTACTACTACTACTACTACTACTACTACTACTACTACTACTACTACTACTGCTACTACTCCATTTATAAACGATAAAGAAACCAGTTTAACCCAACTGCATCAACTTATTACACTATACCGAATCAACTGTTATCATTGACTAGCACAACATTCTCCATCATTATTCACAATAAAATGGAATACAGACTAAATCATTAATCTTCTTTTTTTTTCCTTTTTATATTTATTACATTCACTTATTACTTGAATTGTATAAAAGTAGACATCTCACAATTTTATATATAATGATGATGATGATGATGATGATGATGATGATGATGATGATGATGATGATGATGATGATGATGATGATGATGATGATGATGACGATGATTCTAATGATGAAAAATAGGTAAATTCAATAGTCTAATGAAAATATATTTCTAATAAAATAAAATAAAAAGAAACCCTTTACTGATCATGCATCATCATGACATTACAAAACTAGGCAGTAAGTAGTATGAACATTTTTTGTTCATCTGATTCAGGACATGACCTTCTAAACGTATGTAAGTGTAGTTTTAGTAGTTTCTTCTTCTTTCTCTGTGTGTACCTCTATCAGCATACACATCATGGATTGCATAGAATACACACACACACACACAAACATTTTATGACAGAAGAATATTTCTATTTTTTGGAGGGCTTTTCGATAAATTATCCTATATGAAGCATATACACACACACATACATCCATACACACATACACGCACACACACATATACTCGCACACACATACACGCATACACACACATACACACACATGCATAATGTACGATCATCAACTAATAATCATAATAATCGTATAGGGTGCATAAACATTTTCGTAAAACAAAAAAGTACATTTGGTCTTTTTTTCTTTTTCAACATACATATATTGATATAAGCTCTGATAATTTGACATGGGTAAACTGTAAAAAAAAAATTGAAATGAAAGAGAGAGAAAGAAAGTAGTGTGTTAAAAAAAGAATAAGCAGTTTTCTTTCAAT